ATGTGTGTGTGTGTGTGTGTGTATATATATATATAAAAAAGTAAGATGAAGCTGAATTAAGTGCAGCTGGAGTTCAACAGTCTGACAGCTGCAGGGAAGAAACTGTTTCTGAGCCTGGTGGTCTTTCCCTGAATGCTCCTCAGCTGCCTGCTTGAGGGGAGGGGCTGGAACAGACTGTGCAGGATGAGTGGAGTCCTTCATGATGCGGAGCACCCTCCCCCTGCATCATGAAGTGTAGAGGTCCGAGGTGGCGGGAAGGCTGCTCCCCACAGTTTCCTGTGCAGCCTTAACCACCCTCTGCAGAGCCATCCTCTCATTAGCAGTGCAGCTGCTGTGCCACACGGTGATGCAGGTGCAGAGAACGCTCTCCACCACACAGTGATAGGAGCTCCTCAGGGCAGAGCTCCCAAGTCCAGCTCTCCGCAGCTTCCTGAGGAAGTAGAGACGCTGATGGGCCTTGTCATTCCCCGATCTGTTACAGAAGCCGAACCGTAGTGTCAGCTCATTTGCACATGCGCTAAAAGCAATACTTTCGGGTCACTGTTGAATATGCAAGATTAAGGAAAATGTACTGGAAATATCCTGTAAGCTGATTTGTGACAGGCCTTCTTCAGAGAGGAAGTATTGGCTCTCCAGGTGAGGTCACTGGATTATGCACCCCCAGGTAGCTGTAGCAGGAGACCACCTCCACAGCTGCTCCTCTGATGTGTAGGGGATGAAGAGGATCCTTGTCCCTTCTGAAATCCACCATTGGCCACCCCCTGGTTCCGCCAATGCAAGAACTACATTTATGTTTTTTGTTTGTTTGTTTGTCAATATTTAATCAACGGATAATGGTTTCTTGGTGGACTTCTTTGTAACTTTGAATAATTAAGATAGACTTAATTTTTAATTTAAGAAATGTATTATTATAGTGAGAAGTCTGAAAAATATCAGTTTTAATAGTGTTAGTTTTGGTTGCTTTTTTTTAAAACAGTACAAAGATCAAATAAATATTTGTTCCTCACTTACATTTTTTGTGGGCTCATTTGATCTAATATGCAATTTTTTTTAATTTTTTTTTTAAATAAAAAAGGACAAAAATATGCAAATGTTGACTCAAAATCATTTTCAGCTGATGGAGTTTCACAAACCACTGAGACTGAGACAAAAACAGAATAGTCTATTTAATTTAGTGTCGACGAAGTTATTAATTAACAAGATCCTCCGTCCAAATTTCAAATTATAATAATATAATAAAAACTATGAAAAAAACAGTAACTGGTTGATATGGTTAAATTCTATAATAAAAAGTTTCCGAGCATGTCGTCACAAGGTAGCGTGGCCGAGCGGTCTAAGGCGCTGGATTAAGGCTCCAGTCTCTTCGGGGGCGTGGGTTCGAATCCCACCGCTGCCACATATATATATTTTTTTAATTCAAAGACAATTTTTTATTATACAAAAAGTTCCTATTCAACGGTTTATTTATTTTTTGTTAATGTAGGATTTGATTTTTAGTACTTGTTTCATATTTTCAAAGGATAAATCACTTAAAGGGACCGTCTGCTCAGCTTGGGGGGAAAAAAAAGCTAAAAAAAAAAAAGTTCATTCTAAAAGAGTAATAACTGAAGACGTAAAAAAAAAGTAATACAAAAAGTGTAAATGTATACAAAGATGGTACGAACAGTTTGCGCGCGGTTCACTTACCCTGGGGTTAAAAAAAAAAAAAAAAACTTACCCTGGGGTTTGTACGTTAAAAGGTGGGTGGGAAAAATCCGAGCTGAGCAGGATCACGTGAAGGCAGCACAGTGGACGAGGCGGAGAGACGAGGAGGAGGAAAGAAAGAAAGAAAAGGAGGCGAGGAAAGGAGGAAGGACGGAACCCTAATGAATTCAGCCTCGCAGTCTTGGCGCCAATCCGATCTACAAAGAAATAGGATTTTATAAACATTTGAATCAACCTCCGACCAGGCTTTGTTGCTTTCACGTCCACCGGTTGATGCTACAACCAGTTAGCTTCACATAGCTCACGATCTATCACTGTCACGTCTAACCCCGTTTTCCTCCGAGACAACAGAGGCGCTTTTTCTCTCCGGGGCTCGACCGAGAAGACAGAGCTACGAAAATGGGGGTGAGTTGTTTTTGTTTAAGGTTTCGCTGCCGGGTGATAATGGGAAAGAAAGGGAAAGGATGAGGGAAGAGCTGGCCGCATCCAGTTAGCATTGCTGTTAGCATGTGTTAGCTTTCTCCTCCACGATCACTCCTTGTGTCGACTGATATCCCCGGGTGTGTGCTAGCAAGGTTAGCTAATTCCGTTTTGGTAAATGCGGAGTGCTTTGCTAGCGTTGCTGCTAATTATTATTTGTGTGCACATCTTTGCCCAGCAGGCCCGAATGTGGAGCCTTTTCTTCACCTGCTGCTGAAAACAATCCAAGCTAGCTGGAAGTTATTTACCTTTTTTTTGTTTTTTGCACACATCCAGGCAGACAATGTCGCTTTACAGCCGAGTAAAAACCTAAAGTTAGCCCTCCACTTTCACTGCATTTGTGCTTAAACCCACGATCCACGTGTTTTCTCCGCCTTTTCTGTGCCTGGTGGTACCGAGTTCTGGTCCGAGCCCAAAAGTTGGTCGACCCCACTGCGTTCCTCTTTGCCATTGTTGCCTCCATGTTTGTTCAGGACTGGGATGAGGGAGTTTTGTGTTAATTGTTTGATCATTAAGTTGCAGAGTTCCCACACTGATGCGGACTTATTTATTGTGTGAGCAGCTGAGGGCAGGGGGGTCACCAGTAAAACCTGCTGGTTTGGTGGAGCAGTCTACTGGTGTTCAATGCAAAAACTACATAGAGTATCCAACAGTTTCCAGTCAGGTCATCTGGACAGTTTGTTTTCTTGCTGAAACGTTAAACATAAAGTATCAATAATGATATGATGCATGCAAAACCAGCCGCGTGGTACTGGAAATGAAAACATCTGCAGCAGTTATTTAGTACATGTGGGGTATTTTATTGGAGATGCTATGCTGCTTGTACTTTTGATCATAGGTTATTTAAACTATTTTTAGATACTATTATGAAACAGTACTTCCTCCTTCTGCCTCCATCTCACTCTGCATGCTCTGTCCTCACTCCAACCACCACCATGTCTTCTCTATGAGTTTCCATTTATCTCCTTTTTCTTTATTTCTAACATCCATCTACCAGTATACCCACTGTCCCTCCTATGGACATGTCCAAACCATCTCAGTCTGGTCTCTCTAACTTTTATCTCCCAGTTGTTCAGTGTGTGCTGTACCTCTGATGATCTCGTTCCTAATCTTATCCATCCTTGTCACTTCTAAGGAGAACCTCACCATCTTCATTTCTGCCACTTCCTGTTCTGTCTCCCGTCTTTTTGTCCATGTCTCTGTCTCCAGACCATACAGCATAGCTGGTCTCACCACTGTCTTGTAAACTTTTCCTTTGACCTTTGCTGACGCTCTTTTGTCACAAATCACTCCTGAAGCTTCTCTCCATCCTGCCCAGTCTCTCTTCTTCACCTCCCCGTTTTCACAGGTGGTCAACCCTAAGTACCGTATTTTTCGCCCTATAAGTCGCAGTTTTTTTTGCATAATTTACATGCCCTGCGACTTTTAAATGGAAGCAAAATATTTATAGATTTCCCCCCCCATATTTGTAAACTAATTTTTGGCTGAAATATGACCGTTTTCATTCATTCTGACTGAAAAAAATAAATTATGCAGTACCACTTTTAGCCACTTGATGGAAGCAGAGCATTAGTAGCTGTATGGCATGCTGTTGTATCGTGTAATAGGTAAACGTGATTATAATGACAAATTCAAAAAAGTTCAATTCAGAAACAACTGGACTTTATTATACTTTACTTTATACTTTGTTTTTTTTTTTCTTGAACTTTTTTTGAATTTACCGTGTCTTGGATGACTGAGAATCTTCACCAGATGTTAATGACACAATCGGCTTCCCTCAGTACCCCCCCACCTTCGTTCTGCTCGCTGCTTGGAACCGTCAAACCAGCTGCACCACCTGAAATGCAGCTAATTTGACTATTAAAGTGCATTTATTAAGTAAAAGTTCAACTGAGACACACCTTTGCTATAATTTCAAGCAAGTAAATAATTGTTTTGGATGCTTTTCTTGTTAAATTTTTGAAGAAACGAGCAGCGTTCCTCCTTATTTTTTTCCTCCCTCTGCGCGCTCCCGGAGCACCGAGGCAACAAATACGTTTGAAATGGAGCTGATTTGACTGTTAGTCTTTTGTTAAGCAAACGTTGGACTGAGACACACCTTTACTATAATTTCAAGCAAACAAATAATTGTTTTTAAGTGTTAATCTTGTTTAAGTCTTCCTGTGCACGCTCCCGCGGTCGCCATTTGGCAGAACATCATTTTTGGCACAACACCGGCCCACATTTCCGGGTTCGGCCCACATTTCCATGTTGTCAGCGGCGATGCGTAATAGATGTGACGTATACGGCGAAGCGACATATTTATGGATTTTTTCCACTTTTTTCAGACATATTTGAACTGATGTGACTTAGCGGGCAGAGCAACGTGTACGGCGGAAAATACGGTACTTAAGTCTTGCACCTTCAAGTACAAATACTTCCTACTTTTTTTTTTTTTCCCATCTTAAATAAAGGTTGTGGTTGTGATTTTCACTGATCAATGACAATAAAGTTTTTTATCATCTTAACTGTATTACCATTCGGAGAAGAGTCTGTGGGACATAAACAGCGATAAAAGTGAGGACTGTCGAGATTCTGCGTCAGATTGCTGTTTGTTATAAACTAAACCACAAGAAAAACTCAAGTTTAATCTTTATATAAGTCAGTTAATTTAAAACATTACCTAACTGATTACTGTGTACTAGTCTGTTTATTATATATACTGAGGTCGTTTAAGAATAAAAACACAATACATGCAAATATTTTAAATATTATAGTACTTTTGTTTTTCTTTCTCACATTTTTTTTCCATCCTTCAGTAAGTTGTGAAATGGTGCATCCGCCTCGCACTACACCTCCCAACCCCCATTTCCATGGCCCGCGGGTCGCCTTTTGATGATCGCTGGATTAAGAGTTGGTACTTTTTGATGCTCCCAAGAACAATGAGCAAGCCGGACGTGGATGCTACTTGGACAGATGACTGAATGGATGTTTGATGATTGTGCATGGCACAATGGAGGACTTGTGTGAATCATGGCTGCAACATTGTAGTTTAGAAGAGTCAAATTATTTATCCAGTCGTCCCATTAGGCTCTCGTGGATATTGCTTGTAATGGAATTTCAGTGTGTTTGTGTTTTTAAAATGCTGAGCTCAGTGAGATCTGCAGTAAATCAGACAAAATGTTAACTGTATTTATGGTTAGGGGTTTAATAAAACTTAGTTACAAACTAACGGGAAAATCCACATGGTCTGTATTCAAGGTTCTTATTGTCATTCGCACCTCATGTAGCACAGTGCCTTGAGAAAGTATTCGGCCCCCCTTGAACTTTTCAACCTTTTGCCACATTTCAGGCTTCAAACTTAAAGATATAAAATTTAAATTTTTTGTGAAGAATCAACAACAAGTGGGACACAATCGTGAAGTGGAATGAAATTTATTGGCTGTGTCAAACTTTTTTAACAAATAAAAAACTGAAAAGTGGGGCGTGCAATATTATTGGGCCCCTTTACTTTCAGTGCAGCAAACTCACTCCAGAAGTTCAGTGAGGATCTATGAATGATCCAATGTTGTCCCAAATGACTGATGATGATAAACAGAATCCACCTGTGTGTGATCAAGTCTCCGTATAAATTAGGGCTGCAACTAACGATTATTTCAATAATCGATTCATCGGACGATTATTTTTTCGATTAATCGATGAATCGTCAAAAAAACAACAACAACGTTTTAATTTCCACCCCTTTATTCCAAAATTGAACATTTGACTGACATAGCAATTCACACTAAAAACGGGTTGCTATTTGACTATTGTTAGTAAAATATTGAATAATTAAAAAAATAAAAATTAGTCAAATAGATTAAAAAAATAAATGTACACAAAAATATATACAAATGTATCTTTATACCTGCACAATATGTAGCTACTTTGTAAAATGTGTCCTTGAGGGAAGAGTGTAACCTGGATTAAAAGTGTGGATTATTGTAACCTGGATTAAAAGTGTGAATTATTGTAACCTGGATTAAAAGTGTGGATTATTGTAACCTGGATTAAAAGTGTGGATTATTGTAGTGAAGCCTTCGTCTTCAACCATCGACAGAGGCCTCATGTCAGTGACGATCATTTAAGGATGTTTCAGTGAAGACAGCTGCTGCTGTGGTGTGCATGATGTCTGTCCATCATGAAGGCTTTTGTTGTTGTTTGTTGTTGTTTTCTGGAATGAGACAGTAAATATGTATTATAGCATAATTATTACAGCAACTCAAGAAATGCCTTGTTTCACTTACAGCGTTAGGTTCAGGCAAATGTAGCTAAAAGAGCAATTACACACACAGACACATATATAAAATACTTAATTACACACATTTGAGTAGATGTAATAAATTACTTTAATTCCTGTTTAAATGCAACTCATCCTGCCATACCTGCAGTGTCTTCAGACTTTGCCAGCAAATTAAAAGTTGAAGCTTAATCATTAAATTATTATCTTTGTGTTAGATTTATTTATAAATCACATTTAAACACCGCTTGTTCCAATTAAATTAAATAAAAAGTAACACACGTTCTCTATCACCGTCATTAAACAGATAAACAAACAAACAGCAGCTTCAGCTACCAGAGAGACTGACGTTACGTTTTCTCTCTTGGAAACAGAACAAAGTGTTAAATTGTAGAGACTCACCTGCAACACATGACGAGTTGTATCAGCTGCAGCTCCTTCCTCCTCCTCGTGACTCCGACATGTTTACGTTTCATCTCCGTGGTTCTCTCGTGTCGTGTCGGCGATTTTCAAAGCTGCATGTTTCTCAGTTTTTATCTTTGTGAAGTTCTCCCACACTTTGGAGGACTTGGGTCAAACAGTTTTCGCTGCGTCGGTCATTTGTAAAATTTACTTAATTTCCTTTGAAAACACTCTGCTCTGCTTCCTCCTCCCCCCACGCTCTGTTCAACTCGCGCTGCAGTTTATTTTTTTTTCTTCAAACTTTATTCAGTCAGTCAGCGTTGACAATGAACTGCAGGTGAACGAAACGGCTCCGCAGCGCCGTGAAAGACGCATAATCGCGCGACACAACGAATCGATAACGAAATTCGTTGCCAACGCTTTTAATCATCGATTTTTATCGATTCGTTGTTGCAGCCCTAGTATAAATGCACCTGCTCTGTGATAGTGTCAGGGTTCTGTTCAAAGCGCAGAGAGCATCATGAAGACCAAGGGACACACCAGGCAGGTTCAGGACAGGGAAGATGGTCAGAATGGATGGGGCCAAATACAGGACCATTCTGGAAGAAAACCTGTTTGAGTCTGCAAGAGACCTGAGACTGGGACGGAGATTTATCTTCCAACAAGACAATGATCCAAAACATAAAGACAAATCTACAATGGAATGGTTCACAAATAAACGTATCCAGGAGTTGGAATGGCCAAGTCAAAGTCCAGACCTGAATCCAATCGAGAATCTGTGGAAAGAGCTGAAGACTGCTGATCACAAACGCGCTCCATCCAACGTCACTGAGCTCCAGCTGTTTTGCAGGAAGAATGGGCAGAACTTCAGTGTCTCCATGTGCAAAACTGATAGAGACAAACCCCAAGAGACTTGCAGCTGGAACTGCAGCTGGAACTGCAGCTGGAACTGCAGCTGGAACTGCAGCTGGAACTGCAGCTAAAGGCGGCGCTACAAAGTATTAACGCAAGGGGGCCGAATAATATTGCACGCCCACTTTTCAGTTTTTTATTTGTTAAAAAAAGTTTGACACATCCAATAAATTTCATTCCACTTCACGATTGTGTCCCACTTGTTGTTGATTCTTCACAAAAAATTAAAACTTTATATCTTTATGTTTGAAGCCTGAAATGTAGCAAAAGGTTGAAAAGTTCAAGGGGCCGAATACTTTCGCAAGGCACTGTACATGAAGTGAAACAAAATTGTATACTCGGTCCCCGTTACTCCCCAAAATAGCAAAGATATAAAATATAAAAAAGAAACAGTAATAAGGTTCTAAGATATATGCTAAACAATAATAATGTTTTTTTTTTTTTTTCATTTATTCTTTATTTATCCAGGTAGTCTCACTGAGTCACGAGAACTCCTTTTCAAGAGAGACCTGTTTAGGGAGCGGATGGTGGGGATTGGGGGCCTTGCTCAGGGGCCCAGAGTGAGGCGAATGAGGGTGAAGGCAGGTGTGGGTGTTTCACCTTTTCCACCCACGTTTTGATGTTGACGGTACTGGGAGTTGAACCTGCGACTTTCCGATCACAGGCCCATCTTCTCTGACCTCTGCGCCACCACTCCCCAAGTATAATATGCTGTATTAAACAACAGCCTGAGTATGAGTCTATTGTGAGCAGATGGGTATGAATGCAACAGCTTAAAGGTAAGAGATCAGCAGCATGGATAATCAGCAGCACAGATACAGTGACATATCACCAACTAGTGTCATCACAGTGATTGTCCTGGTTAGAGATTCATGAGTCTTAACAGGCACAGGGTAGAAGCTGTTCCTCAGTCTAGTGGTTCTACACTTAATGCTCCTTAACCTCCTGCCTGAGGGGAGCGGGGCAAAAAGTGTGTGCTGGGTGAGTGGGGTCTTTCATGATGCAGGTGGCCCTCTTCCTGCATCTAGAGGTGTGGATGTCTGTGATGGTGGGGAGACTGACTCCAACATCTTCTGTGCAGCCTTCACCACTCTCTGCAGAGCTTTTCTTTCTGCAGCTGTGCAGCCTCCATGCCACACGTTGATGCTGGAGCACAGGATGCTCTCCACTGCACACCTGTAGAAGGAGGTGAGGACTGAGCTTCCCAGTCCAGCTCGTCTCAGCCGCCTGAGGAAGTAGAGTCTCTGATGAGCTTTATTGATCAGGCTGGTGGTGTTGTTGCTCCAGCTGAGGTTGTCGTTCAGGTGTACACCCAAGTACTTGTAGATGGAGACCACTTCCACCGCAGATCCTCTTATGTTCAGGGGGTGGTGGTGTGTTTGCTCCTTCTGAAATCCACAACCATCTCCTTCGTCTTCTTCACATTGATGTGGACGTTGTTCTTCCTGCACCAGCTCTCCAGGTGTTCCACCTCCTGCCTGTAGCTGGACTCATCATTGTTTGATGCATCCAACCACTATGTCATCTGCAAACTTTTCAATACGGCAGCCTGGATGGGTAGGTGCGCAGTCATATGTGAGCAGAGTGAACAGGAGGGGGCTCAACACACAGCCCTGAGGGGAGCCAGTGCTGTGGGTTATGGTGGAGGAGGAGACGTTGTGGCTCCTCACTGTATCTAATCTTCACCACGTCCTGTGTCAAAATCCACAAGCAACAAAGCGACCGTGTGCATACAGCAAAGTGCACGGAAAACATCTCGTTGTTGAAAAGAAACCGTTGGGAGACGGTTACAAAAATTCTCTGGGTTCGATTTATGACTATTTATTTATTCCTAAAAGGCTGTTAAGTTTGGCAAATGCCTGCTTATGTACCAACAAACAGTAAAAAGAATAAATATGCACAACAATTAACCGACAGAGTAAAGCGCTTTGTGGTGAAGCTGCAGGATCATCTCTTGGCTTTCAAGGTTCAGCATGAAGGCAGAAGGAGAAGAGTTGGTCGTTCTCTTCCTGCGCGGTCGTCCTGAAGGCATCAATATGAGCAAAAGAACAGTGGGACATGGTGGTGGCGGCATCATGCTGTGTGTGGTTGTTACTTCAGCAGGAACTTGGCTTTCAGTCGAGGCGTGTAGACTTGTGCCCTTTCAAGTTCCTGTGAACGTCTGCGAGACGGCTGAAGATGAAGAGGATTTCATTTTTCAAAACGTCTGCGTCAACAAACCGTTCCATTTATCAGACGAAAATGAACGTTTTGGGATAAATTCTGGAGAAAGACCCGTTCCTTAAGTATCTGTAATCGAATCGGAAGGTGCTTCTGTTAAGTTATTTAACACTTAAGCTGCCAGCTTCTTGCATGTTTTATTTTCTTTCTTTCAACAAATTGTTTTTCACAAATTAATTCCACAGAATTTTGCCGCAGCAAATGTGGGAAAAGTTATGAAATGAATTAGCGTGGCCATTTTAAACAAACGTCTCTTTATGAAACGGGAAAAATCAACTTGTAATAAACTGGTGAATAAGAACCTTTTTTAGCTGATATTCTTATTTTTGAAGCGCCTCCCTGGATCATCTTTATCTTCACGTTTCCTCCTTTTACTCTGCTCTCCTCTTTCATTCCAATTCGTTTTTACTCATTTCCTCCTCGTTTCCTGTGCTCAGAGGAAGTCCAGCAGAGCGAAGGAGAAGAAAGCGCGGCGTCTGGAGGAGAGGGCAGCCATGGACGCCGTGTGTGCCAAGGTGGACGCAGCCAATAAGGTGATCAGCTGGCAGATAAACCTGCCCAGTCTCCGCTGCTTGTTGACTGGAAGAAATAAAAACGAAATGACCAGATTGTAGAGTTCTGACACTCAGCGGTTTTCCAAGTTACAGTAAATTTCACCATCCTAGATGATAACAAGCCAAAGGGTACCCCCCTCCTCGCTCTATAATTGATATTCGCACGACAGCAGAAGCTAAATACAGCACCATTCGCCTCGTTATGCATAATTAATTGGCGTTTTTAATTGCCACCCGTCTAGTTGCGTGTCGAGCTTCCACAGCTCAGATGTCTGAGCGAACTGCGCCGAAGTCTGGAGGAGAGCAAAGCTCGGACACCCGCCTCGGTGAGCTGCAGCCGCTTCCTCAGCAGGCTTTGCTTCGTTTTGGTTACGCCACTTCCAGGCACGCAGCGATTTCCATTAAGCAAAGCGACCGTCTCGGTGTCGTATCGGAGTGTCTTTGTAGCGATCTGACAGATGGCGGAGTTAAATAAATAATTAGCGGAGCTGTCCGGATTCCTTCCTGTGATAATTAGCTGCAGCTTCAAGTTCTCGCAGCCTCTGAAGCAGACGAACACAAAACCGCGTTTGAATTTTCCTTCAGCAGGAGTTTCTGCTTTTTGTCTCATCCTGTCTCAGTAGTTGACTTTGCTCATCGATTGTTTGACGCAACTGTTGCCAAAAGTTGCTGCAACTCAAAACTCCCTGCCCGTCTCCAGCTCACCACCAGTTTCACGTTACATGGATATTTACCGTAATGGCCGGCCTATAGAACGCACCTGACTTTAAGCTGCGCATGCTAGTTTTAAAATAAAATGTGATTTTTGTACATAAATGAACCGCGCTGGTGTATAAGCCGCGGGTGTCCACATCGTAATGCAGTGGTCCCTCGTTTATTTGTTTATTTAAGGATCCCCATTAGTTTCTACCGTAGTAGAGACTTTTCTTTCTGGGGTCCACACCACAAACATTGCAATTAAATCTTGCTTTTACAAACATACAAAAAGACTTAATGAAATAGCTAAGATAAAAACAAAATTAAACTATAATCAACCATCTCAATAACATTTTACAAGCATTACAAAATGACGAAATACAGTAGTTCCTCGTTTATTACGCTGGATCCGTACCCTGAAGACCTGCGATAAGTGAAAAACTACGAAGTAGGAAAAGTAGTAGTTTATTTTTATTATATATATATTATATATTATATATATATATATTATATATATATATATATATATAATAAGGCGTTTTAAACCCTTCCCACACTCTTTCAAAATTTTAAACAATGTTTCTAAACATTTAACATGAACTCCGCTCTCTGCCACGCTGCAATCACACTTATCACCTGTTACTTCCAATCTCCCTCCTTCTGTGTAAATAAACAATTTTAATTTTAAATACGTTAACATTTTAAATAAACAATCCATGCAGCTTGACTTGTTTATTTAAAATGTTACAGTATTTAAATTGTAGAGAAGAGAAGCGCAGCAGGACAGCAAAGGGTTAACCCTTCACGCAACAGCAGCACGGAGCAGAAATGTACTTCTTGATCAATTACATTGTAACAACTGAACATAGTTCTAAAATAACTGTAAACTTTTATATTTTGTGATTATGACGATTTTACGATGTGATGTACTTTTAATTTTAAGTTGGAAGACAAAAGTCGATCGGTGCAGCTGGACAGCAAAGGGTTAACCCTTCACGAAGGAGGAGAAATGTGGGCGTGGCAGAGAGTGGAGATCATGACAGGCTGCAGGAGGGATCTTCTCCCTGCACCTAATGATGTAGCAGGTGTTAACTCATTTAAAATGAATTATTTTAAATAAACAATCCATGGATAATCCATCAATCAGCCACTTGTGTGTCATGTCCACTCTTACTTTGAAAAAGAGCGAGTCCACGAAAGTCAAACTACAAAGTAGCGAGGGACTACTGTATCCAGAACGATACAAAGCTCCTGGTAAAATGTGCAGCTCTTGTTGTTCAAGATTCGGCAGGACATCTTAAAATCCATCGTCATCCGCAGCATAGTATAAGCCTCGGTGTCCAAAGTGTGTGAGGGGAAATAAAAAGGTAGCGACTTGTACACCGGCAATTACGGTACTTAAAACTGTTTAGCAGCAGCAGCTAGCTGTAGCAGTTCTGATGCAACCTGAGGCATGGCTAGCAATAAAAAAAAAAAAAAATAAGTAGAAGCCTGGTGGGTAACATTTTTATTTTTATTTTTTTTTTCTTGCAGCTTGAAGACCCTCTGGCTGCGTTTCCAGCCTTCAAAAAGTACGACAGAAACGGGTACGAAGAGTTTTATTCTGTAGTCTTTGTTTGTTTCCACTTTCGATGCTTCTAAAGTCAAACGCTCACGCGGTTAACTTGTGTCGCTCAGGCTGAACCTGCAGATAGAGTGCAAGAGAGTGACCACCCTGAACCCGCTGGCTGTGGAGTGGGCCTTCGAGCTCACCAGAGCCAACATGCAGGCGCTGTAAGAAGCCAGCTCCTTTTCTGCCTTCGCCGTTTTGTGCCGAGTCCTGTGGCTAAAACGTCACCGGAGCCGTTTCCTTCCGCTGTCGCTGCAGGTACGAGCAGAGCGAGTGGGGGTGGAAGGAGAGGGAAAAGAGGGAGGAGATGAACGACGAGAGGGCGTGGTACCTGCTGGCCCGAGACGCCGACTCCACCCCGGTGGCCTTCTCTCACTTCAGGTTCGACGTGGAGTGCGGCGAGGAGGTCCTGTACTGGTACGGCGCTCTTCGGCGTGCTCGTTTCGATCAGAGTTCCCGCGGTTTGTTTTCTGTTTGACGCCGTTTTCTCGACTCCGCAGCTACGAGGTGCAGTTGGAGAGCAGAGTGCGACGGAAAGGGCTCGGCAAGTTCCTCATCCAGATCCTGCAGCTCATGGCTAACAAGTAAAAACTGCAGATTTGCTCCCCGCTGCACACTCGTGCACCTTGTTGTTGTTTTTAAATGTAAACGCGTGACAGGAAGTCTCTGTGCTCGTGTTCAGTACGCAGATGAAGAAAGTGATGCTGACGGTCTTCAAGCACAACCACGGGGCGTACCAGTTCTTCAGAGAAGCTTTACAGTGAGTGCCGTTCAAGACGCACGGTTTATAAAAATGATGATTTGAAACGCTTAACTCGGAGAGGGAACACGAGAGGGAATGAAAGAAATGGGTGAACGGTAATCCCTCGTTAATTGCGGGGCTTACGTTCCAGAACAACCGCCCCCCAAATAAGTGAATATCGCGAAGTAGCGACGTTGTATTTATTTTAGTATTTATATGTAGTTGAAGGCTTTATAAACCCATCCCACACTCTTGCAATGTTCTAAACCTTTCCGTGCCATCCCCCCCCCCCTCAAACAGCATTAACTTCTGGCCGAGGTCCAACTCGCAAACCCAGAGTCGGAGTTTCTTTATCGTCGTCCCACCTCATGTGGCACACGTCTGATCGTGTGTAAAAACCATAAAATAGAAACTGTAAATAATCCCGACCTCTTCAGATTGTGGGATTGTTTTTCTCCACAACTACAAACTTCAAGCTTTTCGATCAGAACAGTTTGTTGACGCTCCTTTTTTAAAATTTTATTTTTAATTTCTCTTCTAGGTTTGAGATCGACGACACCTCTCCGAGCATGTCCGGTTGCTGTGGCGACGACTGCTCCTACGAGATCCTGAGCAGGCGGACCAAACACGGCGAGGCCTCGGCGGGGCACACTCACGGCGGCGGGCACTGCGGCGGCTGCTGCCACTGATCAACCGCCGTCGCTCTGCTCCACGCGGCTGCGTCCGGTCGACCTCCGCCGGTGGAACGCCTGCGTGTGTTGAACCCGTGTAGTTTCGTGTGTTTGTTCCTGCTGCAGAGGCAGCACGCAGCTCAAACCTTCACGTCTTCTTCTTTTCTCTTTCTCCGACTTGTTCCCCTCTGCTTTCACTCAGACCTGACCGTTCTAACAACCGGAAAGAAAAACAAAAAGTTTTATTTTTGCTTTGGTGAATGTTTATGTCACGATAACAACCGGAGAACACGATTTAGAGTTGATCCGTTTGTGTTGAACCAGCTGGATTTTCCCGAGGACCTTGTTGCTGAAACCACGCGAGCATTTCCAGGGAACCATCCCAGATTTAGACGAGTCCTGAAACCCTGCAGCGCCGCAACAGATCGGTCACGGATGAAGTTTTATTCACGAGAACACGAACACTGCGACGGCTCTCTGCTCGTGAAACGCCTGAATATCTTTGCATTTCTTTTTAGGCGTCTTTATTGACGCCGTTTGCTTTGCAAGTCTTGATATTTCTCATACTGATGTGAAAAATAATCTCATTAATGAGTTGATCAGAGGTTCAAATGAAATCTTTTTTTCTCCCATGTTTAGTTTGTGAAAGTACGTTTATTAATAATTTTTAGCTTCTTTCGTCTAACGGTCTTTTTTTTGTGTGTGTTGATGCTTTAAGATCAGAATCAAACATCACATTTCCCACACACCACCTGCATCAACTCGGCTTCTTTGTCACGTTTCTCTGCCTCAAACTGTTTGATGATCAGAGCTGTTTGCATTTTTACTCACTTTCCTGAGCCGTCGGTCGCACTCGCCTCGTTTTTTTGTTTTCCTTCAACAGCACTTATCTTAATCCTGCTAAACAAACCCGTTTAATATTTAGGTTTAACCAAAATTAAGGATTAGCAGTAGGATGTGAATTTATTTTTTTTTACATTCCTTTTACGTTGCTTTCTTGACTCGCACGATAAAGTGATTATTTTTATTAAAACCATTCACAGTTGGTGCTTTTTTCAATTTCAGCTGTGCAAATAATTATTTCCGACTTAACGAGTGAAATGTGAGCTGTGCTGGCAGAGTGAGTCGAACTTTTCAGTACCGCTTTACAGTAAGGCTCCCCTTATAGATGGCTAATAAACAGTTTATAGATGCGTTATTAGATCCGCTTTATAAATCATTAACTGCTTATTATGCATTAATTAAGGGTGACGGACAACTGACCAGTTTCTTGCCAAATCTGTTCATCTATATATTTCATCTAGAGTCGTTCTATTAATCATTTCAGATTAAGCTACTACCTTGTAAGCACAATAAGCATTTGTAAACCTAATTTTAGGATGTAAGTTGTAGATACTTATAATGCAGTGATAAAGTACAATATATGCTAAGAAATGGGTTTACAAATGCTTATTGTGCTTACAAGGTAATAACTTGGTCTGAAATGTTTAAAATAACTAGATGAAATGTATAGATGAACAGATTTGGCAAGAAACTGGTCAGTTTTTACATAATAAGCAGTTAATGATGTATAAAGTGAATGTAATAACACATCTATAAACTATTTATTAGCCATCTATAAGGGGAGCCTTATTGTAAAGTGGTTCCAACTTTTCAATGTGGACTTGTTTTCAAAATCTGCACCTCAAAAGTTTCAAAATGAGTCGTAGTTTGTTGAAATTTGATTAATCGCCTGGAAACGAGCTAGTTTTGTTTACCGGAGTGCCGGTTTGAAAGCTTGATTTTATTTTAGCTTTTTTTTGGGGGGGGGTCTGGAGAGAGGTCGTTGGGAATTCCAGCGGTGTATTTAAAAATGAGACTTTGCAGTGGTGGCAAACGTTATAGGAAGGGATTTCCTGGCACTATGGAAGCAATCAGAGGAAAAAAAGATCAATTTAAAAATAAATTGTGATTTTTGAAGACTTGCCTGTTAGAAAACTTTCATTTAAAGGTGGATTAGGAAGATTAGATGCTGGATTATTATCTTGGTGGATTTTATGTTTGTTTCCATGACGGCAACAAGGAATATTTTCAGTTTTTTTCTGCAGCCGGTGCTCATTCTGACTCCTTTTGCCAACACGGGTCAAATATTTCATGCAAAACGGATAATTATGTCGACATGTGTTGCACGTTGAGTTGCATGACGTGCACGTTGGCAGCCTGAGTAAAATGTATCGATGGATTGGAGAGAAATGGTTGAGTAGCTGCCACTTTAAGCTTAAATGCATCTTCTGGCTGTTTGAAATGCTTCTCGTGACTTAATGCCCATTTTTTAAAAATATTTAGTTTTTTTAGGCAGATTAAAAATTTGTTACGAGTTGGAAATAGTTTTTTTTACGCAGCATGAACGTGAAGATCTTAAGTTGGTACCTTTTTAGTGATTTTCTACAGTTTAATGCTTCGGTTAATGTGAAACTGTTTACAGAAAATATAATCAGACACGTCAAGATTATACAGAATAAACATGTCCCTTATCACGAAAACAATTGGATATTGATAATTAATATCAAAGGGTTGTTTTTTTTATTGTTTCAGGAGAAATGTTCATTTTTCAACAATCAGGGTCAACAAAACCGCCTGGACTACCTGCCTAACGGTACTACAACTTGTTCTGTATCGTCACAGTTCAAAAACTCTGTTGTACATAGTGGTGGTAAATAAATACTCCGTTCCTCTCTCAGGTCAAACATTTTCAAACCTCATCGGTCTTTTGAAAACAATCATCAGTTTGATGTTGGGTCCGTCGAGCAGCTCTGATCTGTTGTAAAGATTAAAAAATAAAAAAAATCTGTGAACGCGACCAGATGGTGCAAACACTGAAATCCTTGTAAATAACTCGTTTTGAGTTTTAAGTTCCCGACATTTCCTTTAAAATGTGACTTTGCATGAATCAAATCTGGCTTTAAATCTGTGCTCGGTGGTTCGATCCAGACAGAACAAAGGCTCACTGACTCATGGGGTGATTTTGTAAAAATATATATATACACACACGTTACAAAATGTGCTTACAGTTTAGCGGTTTATTTTGAGGCCAGTGAGTAATTTTGTTTTCAAAATGGGTTATAAAACCTCTCTATGTTAAAAGCTTCTTTCTTTTTTTCTTCTGTGTATATAAATATAAATATATATATATATAAGCTGTTGTGGGTTCATCCTCTCTCGGCCGTTTGCAGGCAAAACACTTTTTTAAACGTGACGTTGAATTAAGAAAAGCTCCATGTTTGAGTGTTCAGTAGTTCTTTCCATAAGTGACGATGAAAGGGAAAGTCGTTCTGCCATGTCAGTGTTTTATTTGTATGTTACAAATAAAGTTGTCAGACTTCACAAGAATGCCTTTTCTGTCCTTCATTTGAAGTAAATGTTTGAGTTTATTGGTCAGGTATGAGAAATTCACATGGGTGTTCCTCAGGGATGAGTTCTTGGGTCACTTGTTTTGAAAACATTTTTTACTGCTTTTCTCCACATTTTTTTCCAATGACACTGATCAACTTTGTTGCATCCACATTTAAAAATAAATAAATAAATCTGCTCCAATAATCATACACTGTTCAATGCACCCGGTCCAGATTTAACTTGGAAAACTAAGTGAGCAAAATGTTTTCTACAAATCAAATTGAAGATTTTGGAATCTTACATCTGTTCCAACATGTTTAAAAATATTTTCTAAAGTAAAATGCGTTTAATGAAGCAAACTATTTTTTCCAACACTTCATTCATTGTTCCAAATTTTATTGTAATTAAATTGCAAAAAACTTTACATCATAAAATACTTCCTTCACAAGGTTCATTAGGTTAAAAAAAATATGTTAATTTTCAATTGTTATTCTGTATAAAGTCAAATTAATGAGCCATTTTCAAGTTAATTTAAGATGTGATGAAACCTTGAGTTAAATTGGTTTATTCACATAAAACTGTAGTATTTTACTTTTAAAAAAGTAATACATATGCTATAATATTGACCATAACCATTTTGCCATTCCATCTAAAATCCATGGAAGTTAAAACAATATAAAAATAAACTAAATTCAATAAATTAAAACACCATTCTTTTATCTTACAGCATACAAAATCTATACTTCCAGTAATTAAAAAAAATATATATATGCTAAACGGTGATTCTTTTAAATTAGTGTTTGATTTTGTGTGGAGAACTGGATCAGGATGGACAGTTCTAACTTAATATGTTTTTAAAAAAAGTCCCTCTTTTTTATGCTCTTTGTTGGCTTTAAAAGTGCACAACTTGAGTTGTATTGTTGATGCTAAAATATACATAAATCAGATTGTTGTTGTTTTTTTTTATTGTGTGTTATACTCACTTAAACAGCAATAAAACCATGTAATTTAGATTATTTTTACTGTACTGTGTTTGGTTTCCCCCGGAACTGTTTAAATATTTCTGCGGGGGACTCATTAAGGCGTTGCACCGGCACCGGACGTTGTTGGTGTATTTTTGCTGCAGAAATGACTTAGCTGGGTGAAATGAGTGGTTCCTGTGATTCGGAGAGGAGCCTTTTCTCACTTCTGCTCAAAATGACATGAAGCTTTGAGCTCGTCGCTTCCGCCGTTTCCCTCCGATGGTAAGAGCAAAAATAAAATCACAGCCCAGCTCTATTTTTTTCGGTTTTATTTTAAGTTTTTAGTCACTGGCTTGTGTTATAAACTCCGACCTCCTTGGTGTTCCAACCTTTAGCTTTCGCAGCGTCTTCCTCTGAGAAACAAAAGCTTTATTGTTAGCCGTAGCTAGCTCACAAACTGGATTTGAACGCATCACGACTGCGCATGCTCCGTTACAATCGAGCCTCAGCCTTGAGTGAAGGGTGAAAAAACAGCAAAAATAAAAACAGTGAAGAAGTGCTTTGTTCATTTATTTTTTCCTGTGAAACCTGTTGCCATCCCAGCAGCTGGTCTGGGTGCCATGGCAACCAGGATGAAGCTGAAGCTGAAGACTGTGTTTGTGCTCTACTTCATGGTGTCACTGATGGGCTTGGTCTATGCTCTGATGCAGCTGGGTGAGTGGAAGCACGCAGCATGTTGTGCATATTTTCCTTCTTTCATCGACACTTTTAGACGTCGCTTTTCATAATTTACCGTGTGTGCGATCGTTTATCCAATAGGCGTTTCAAATGACAAACTTAATTGCATTTAAGTAGTTAAAAGTCACTTAGATTTAGAGTTTTCTGCTGCACTTTGATGTGTGTGTATAAAAATAAACATCGTGGCATGTTGTCCCTCGTAGGCCAGCGCTGTGACTGCTCGGAGCACGACCTGCCCAAAGATCGAGCCATATCTCGCCTGCGTGACGAGCTCTATCGCCTTCAGGCTCAGATCAGGAAGCTGGAGGCGACGAAGCAGCCCCAGAACCAGCCGCCCAAGTCCTCCCTGCCCACCATCTTTGTCATCACCCCAACATATTCGAGGTAGTCCTCCTGTTCCCTCAGCGCTCCTTCGTCGCTGCACGTCTTGATCGCCATCTTTTTTTTTTTCACTCCGCAGGCTGGTTCAGAAGGCGGAGCTGACCCGCCTGTCCCAGACGTTCCTCCACGTCCCTCAGCTCCACTGGATTGTCGTGGAGGACTCTCCGCGCAGGACGCCTCTCGTGGCCGAGCTCCTGAGGACGAGCGGCGTGACGTTCACGCATCTCTACGTGCCCACCGCCAAGGAGCGCAAACTGCAGGAGGTCCGGGTCCAGGTCCTATTCTGATTAGGAGCGCTTGTTTTTAAACTGTGATTCAAACCGCTCGCTATCCCCCCCCCTCAGGGCGACCCCAGCTGGCTGAAGCCCCGCGGGGTCGAGCAGAGAAATGAGGGACTACGGTGGCTCAGAGAGGACAGAAGGGACCAGAACCAGCAGGGAGTGGTTTACTTTGCTGACGACGACAACACATACAGCCTGCAGCTGTTCGAGGAGGTGACACCTGGACCGTGGGGGGTGGGGGGGGCACAGATTCCTGTTTCAGACGTCTGAAAATGTCTCGTCTCGTTTCAGATGAGGAACACTCAGCGGGTGTCCGTTTGGCCGGTGGGGCTCGTTGGTGGCATGAAGTACGAGAGCCCCGTGGTGGAAGGTGGGAAGGTAGGTGGCTTCATGAAAGAAAAACAAAAACGATGAACGCTCGGACGACTTGCTGTGAATGACTCTCGGCTACTACCACACCACATTTTAGCTCCATATGTCTAACACTGCATCGATTGTAGTTTATTTATGTGTGTGCCAAGTTCAGTCAGCTTTGGCGGCCATCTTAAATCAGTTTGACTCCAAAAGGTAAACAGTTCTTGACGTAGTGAACAGTTTCTGAAAATCAGATTAGAATCCACCAAGTGGCTCATGAGATATTTTGCTGACAGACAAACGCGAACATGATCGGCTGCCTTTCATGGCTAATTAACCCACTTAGCCTCTAGTTCAATGGTTAGCATCAGTTCCTTTTTTTCTCAGTTAATCTTAAGAAAAGTAAAATTGTTTATTGTAACGTTTCAGTGAAAAAGCTGTGAAATCGAGTAAACGTGAAATATTCCCATAATTCCTTGGGGCATTGCAGGCGGACAGAGGCTGCAGACGTTTTGACTTCGAAATGTTGCGTTTTCAGTCCCGCCCTGCAGCTGCAGCTTAATACGAGCGAAATCACAAGAATTCACCTTAAAAGTCGAGCAAGAGTTGATCAAAGCAGAACCATTTGGGATTTATTTCTAACGAGAGAAATTGCATTTCCTGTGAAAATCCAGTGTGAATGCTTGTTGATGAGGAACTTGATGGAAAAACTGCTGAAATTAGCTAAAAACATGCTGAAGTGTAGCTGAAATGGAACAACAAGCCTAAATTAGCCGAAGAAAGCAGAAAAAAAGACAAATTGCTTAATGAGGTTTAAATAAGCAGAAATGAGCACAAACTTAGGAAAGTAGCTAAAAAAAGCTGAAATTAGCACGCACACGAAAATAGATGAAAATTGACCGAAAAGGCAGAAAGAAGCTTAAACTATCAGAATGAAGCAGAAAGAGCTGAAATGAGCTAAAAACTTGGAATTAGCTGCAAAAAGGTAAATTTAGCACAAAACGGCTAAATAGCAGCTGAAATAGCAGAAAAGCTGAAACTAGCTGAAAGGAGTATAACTAGTTGAAATTAGCAGAAAGAAGTTAATTAGGTTGAAAGTAGTAAAAATTACTAAGAAATACTTGAATTTATCTAAAAACAGCTGAAATTAGCTTAAAAATGCTAAAAAGGTAGCTGAAAAGGTAGAACAAGTTTAAATTGGAAGAAAGCAAAAAGAACGTGTTTGCCTAATTAGGCTGAAAGAAGCTGAAATGAGCACAAAAAGTGGAAATTATCTGATAAAAGCTGAAATGAGCAAAAAAAACAGCTGAAAAGTAGCTAAAAAAGCAGAAGCTAAAATTTCCAGAAGGATGTGGAGAGAGCACATTTTTGCTGAACTAGGCTGAAAAAATTTGAAATTAGTGCAAAAAATGTGGAATTAGCTGAAAAGGCTAAAATTTGCACAAAAACTAAATAGTAGCTGAAATGTAGCAGAAAAAGCTGATACTTGCAGAAATAAGCTTAAAGGAACATAACAAGCTGAAATTGGTCGAAAAAAGTTAGAAGAAGCACAGAAATATTGTAGTTGGCACCAAATACACACAGCAGCTGATAAAACAGCTGAAATTAGCTCAAAGTTGCTGAAAAAAGTTTAAATTTGCACAAAGAAGCTGAAGCAGAACAAAATGTAAAAGGTTGTAAACAGATCTGAAGGATGTAAAATGAGCTCAATTCATTTCTAATGAGGAAAAAAAAAATGGCAGAAAAGGCTAAATGTTTCAAAAAGCTAAAGCTGCACCAATACCCAAAGTTATAGCAGGATTTTCCTGAAAGAGCTGAACGTTCTGATTTATGATTTGTTGAAAACGCACACAAATGATGGAACCAGAAAGATGCTGAGGAACGTACGGAGGAAAAATGGATCTCAACAGTGAGAAAGCTTCATAAACATTCAGACTGTTGTTCTAGAATCAAAACAAAGATTTTATGATTTATTAAAACGCTTCAGTTACTCCAGACTCAACAAAAGTTTGATATTTTACCTCCATGTGTTTAAACTTTCCGTTCCTTGTAGGTGGTTCGCTTCCACACCGGCTGGCGGCCCAACCGGCCCTTCCCGATGGACATGTCCGGCTTCGCCGTGTCCCTCAGGCTGGTCCTGGCCGAGCCGAAGGCCTGCTTCGACGGAGAGGCGCCCATGGGCTTCCTGGAGAGCAGCTTCCTGAAGGGTCTGGTGACTCTGGACGAGCTGGAGCCCAAAGCTGACAACTGCTCGAAGGTAAAACGTTCGAGTCGGGAAACGACCTGGAAAACGTTCCATGCGTTCTTGTTTTGAACTTTTATTTGAAGTTAACCCGATTCAAGATGGCCGCCACAGCTTATCAAGCACTGCAAACACAAAAACTGGTTGAACTCAGTCAGTCGTTGAGCCGAAATTCTGTGTGGTAGTAGCTGATTGTCATCCCTGATACTGACTCTGAGCGCTAACGAATCATGCAGCGTCTTTGTTTAAAATTTCAACTATTGGGACTGAGGTTGTCTGTCTGTTAGCAAAATGTCTCATGAACCACCTGATGGATTTTAATGAAACTCACAGGAAGTATTGATTTAACGTTCCTCTAAAACTGATTAACTTTTGGAGTCAGCCCAAATCAAGATGGCCGACACAGAATAACTGTCAATTTTGCAAATTATGGCCCAAAATTCTGTGCAGTAGTAGCTGAGAGTCATCAGGAACACATGCTCTGAACACTAATAGGTTGTGTAAGATCTATGTCTGTTAGCAAAATATCTTTTGATTAAACTCGCAGAAATGAATCACTGCTCACTTCCAAAACCGGCTGACTTTTGGTGTCGGGGCGATTCAAGATGGCCGCCTCAGCTGATCGACTGAATCAGCTGAAGTGAATGCTTATTGCTGAAGAACTTGATGAAAAACAGCTGAAATGAGCTAATAAACATGCTGAAATGTAGCTGAAATGGAAGAACAAACCTAAATTAGCAGAAGAAAGTAGAAAGAACAAATTTGCCCAGTTAGGCTTAAAGAAGCAGAAATGAGCACAAAGAAGTAGAAATTATGTGAAAAAGCTGAAATTAGCATAAAACAGCTAAATACAATAGTAGCTGAAATAGCAGAAAAAGCTGAAACTAGCAGAACAAATTTGAAAGGAGCATAACGAGCTGAAAAATAGCAGTAAGAAGTTAATTAGGCTGAAAATAAACCTTACCGCAAAAAACTAGAATTTTTCTGAAAACGGCTAAAATTAGCTTAAAAATGCAAAAACTATCTGAAAATCTAGAACGAGCTTAAATTAGCAGAAGAAAGCAAAAAGAACATGTTTGTTCATTTAGGCTGAAGGAAGCAAAACTGAGAACAAAAAGTGGAAATTATCTGAAAAAAAGCTGAAATAAGCACAAAACAGCTGAAAGGTAGCTAAAAAGCAGAAAGAAGCTTAAATTACCAGAAGGAAGTTGAGAGAGCACATTTTTGCTCAATTAGGCTGAAAAAAGTTGAAATGAGTGCAAAAATGTTAAATTAGCTGTAAAAGCTAAACTTTAGGGAAAAAAGGCTAAATAGTAGCTGAAATAGCATATAAAGCTGAAACTTGCATAAATAAGCTGAAATTAACAGAAATAAGTTAGAATAAGCACAAAGATGTTGTGGCTAGCAGAAAGATCCTGAAAGGAGCACAAAACAGCTGAAATTAGCTGAAAGTAGCTGGAAAAAAGTTCAGATTTGCACAAGGAAGCTGAAAGAACATGAAAGGAGCAGTAAAAGGTTGTAAACACATCTAAAGAGTTGAAGGATGTAAAATGAGCTCAGTTCATTTTTATGAGGGGAAAAATGGCAAAAAAGACTAAATATTTCAAAAAGCTAAAGTTGCACCAAAACCAGAAGTCACAGCAGGATCGTCCTGAACGAGCTGAATGTTTTTATATGAATTGTTGAAATGGAACAAAAATTGCGGAACGAGAAAGATGCAGAAAAATGTACAGAAGAAAACTGGATCACAATAGTGTGAATGCTTCGTAAACATTCACACTATTAAATCAAAAAGGCCGTCGTCCTTCAGCGGCAGCTGAGCCTCGAACTAAAACTTGTATTTCTTATAAAAACTGATCTAAAGAAGATTTTACTGAATTCTTCAGACCTTATTTTAAAATCCAGCTCCAGTACTTTGACCGATCTCTGTACAGTTTTAGCTTTTTTTTTAATTTTTACAATCTGTTGTGATGTTTGTGGTCTGCAGGTGCTGGTGTGGCACACCCGGACGGAGAAGCCGAAGATGAAGCGAGAGGACGCCATGCAGTCGCAGGGACTGGGCTCTGACCCGGCTGTGCAGGTCTGAACAAACGGACAGAGGCACTTAAATTAACCTGATTTTATCTTCCTGCATTGTAGGTCAGTGAGTTTAAATGAGTGTATACAGAGGGGGGTTGTGTTGTGCATCACTGTTGAACGTAGATGTTTTTTATTTTATTTATTTTTTTAATTAAAGTAATTTTTGCAATAAGTTAAAGAAAACCGTGCAGTTTGAACAGCTGCCTGCAGGGGGCGCCAGATTCTAACCTTTTAAAGTCGCACACTGTTAAAACCAGAACATTTGCATTTTCAATCAGTGTTTTTTATTTTACTTTTCTCAAAACTAAATCCTTCTGTGTATATTTATGTAACTGTGCTCCTTTCCTGTCTGATTTTTAAGATTTAAACACCGTAATTCATGCATGACTTTAGGTTTTGCATGACTTGTCTGTAAATCACACTTTTAAAGCGCTTTATTTGTATTTTTCTTCCCGTTTAAGTCAGTGGAGCTTAATGGTAAATTTTTGGCAATAAAAAGTAAAGTAGTCTGGAATTTTGCAACACGGCGTGCAAACCCAATACACAATGTTGCTGCAACTACAAAACCTTATGGCCTCATGCCCACTCTAATGTTCTGAAATTAATCTGCTCAGCCTATTACGTGTTTTGTTTGAGTAATTCTTACTCACAAAAAAAAAATCACAATCAGATTAATTAAAATGTCTGAAATAAGGAAAGAATGCTCCAAAACATGCACATTATGTCCACAATAAACTAACAAACAAATACGGACCTTGTTACATGTACACTTGTGTGACCCCGGCAGGCGAATATAAAATATATTTGATCAGCAAACACTCGATCGAGTCCTTAACGGGCAGGAAACTGACTCAGTATTTCACAGCCTGATCTGAGGAGGGTCAGCTGAGCTGCTGCGGGTTGGTTCTGTAAAAACAGCTTGTGCCTGCATATATTTAGTGCCTGTGAGACGGTTTATCTGCTGGTGTTTGTGTATTTATTACTGTGTTATTGGTCTCTACCTTGTGCAGTGTGATGATGATGATTATGATGAAAATAAACCTGCATCGTGTAAGACGCGCTTGATGATCGTCTCCTGCTCTCGTCTGTGTGGGATTTCTTTCTTTAACCTTCTGCAGCCGAGAACGAGGGGGAAAACGACTGAAAATATACAAAGAAAGGTTTGCTGTCCTTCACCTGTTCATCCTTTAAAGATGTAGTGAAAAGATTAACAGCTACTATCTTACCTGCTGCAGATAGCTCTGAACAACTTCATTTTGAGTCATTGATGAGCTAATGGCTAGTCTGAACTGCAGACCCAAGAAACAATTTGAGACTTAAGACTTTGTCCAATCTGTCCACACTCAAAACATGTGTCGAGGACGACTCTCAGCTACTACCATGTCCAATTTTAGTCGAGTCAAATTTATTTATAAAGCACATTTTAAACAGCAGCTGTTACCAAAGTGCTTAACAATAAAATCAAGGCAGTAAATTAAAGATGGAGTAATAACATGATGACCTGACTGACCCCAACATAAAGCACATTATAGTAGTCCCGCCAGGTTGTAACGAAGGCATGGACTATTTTTTTCAAGGTCAGATCTAGTCAACACAGACTTAAGCTTAACTAGCTGCCTTAACTGAAAGAAGTTTTTTTTTTGTCTGTTTATTAAACTTAAAGTCGGAGTCTAAAACCATCCTGAGATTTGTAACAGACTGCTTAAGATATGGATCAAGGGAGTCAAGGTTAACAGGAACAGAGACAGCAGTAGAGCTAAGGCTAAACACAATGACTTCAGTTTTCTGATTCTTGGAACTTAAAAAGTTTGAAGTCATCCATGCCTTAATTTCAACATTTTAAGAGGGTGGATTGTGCATGAACTATTTGGTTTTAAGGGCAGATAAAGCTGACAATCGTCAGCAAAGCAATCACCAAAGGCCATGTTTTCTCAGGAAAGACCCTAAGAGCAGCAGATACAATGAAAACAGAAGGGGTCCAAGAATAGAGCCTTGCGGGACACCGCAGGAAAGAGGCACTGAAGCAGGTAAACTAAGTATTACCAACTTTAACACAGAAACTCCTGTCGCTCGGATAAAAACAGAACCATTCTAATGCTGCACCAGTAAACCCAGTGTTCCAACCGTGATAAAAGGATACTGTGGTCCCACGGTTGAACACAATTTTAGCTCAAAGTCTGTCAACAACGGAGTTATTGTGGGTTTTGTGTTTTCCATCCATTATCTGAGACGGCCATCTTGAATTGGGTTAACTCCAAAAACTAGATTGACATCCAGGGATCAGTTTGAGGAGTTTCAATAAAATCCATTCGGCTGTTGAGATATTTTGCTAATTACGAGGACAGGTTTGACTTCAAATAGTTTGTAGCAAAATGTTCAAGATTTTATGCAATTTGTTTTAACATTGTTTATGACATTATTTTTGGTATTTTAAACCAACAATTAACAAACACCCCCTCCCTCCTACCTTATTTCAAGTAAAACCTCACCAGATTTTTTTTTTTTTTTTTTTTTTTTTTGCAGATTAAGAAAATAAAAGCTCTCTTTATATGTAGGTGGAGCTGCAGACTTTAAATTTAGCAATTTTAGCCTCCTTTGTTGAGAGTGCAATTCGGTTATTTTTAGTTGTAGAGAGAGGGAAAGTGGAGCGACGCCCAAACGAGACAGTTTAAACGTTAGGAGCAACTTTTCCAGTTACGTAAGAAAAAATAAGCAGAGTTTTAGACCAGAACCTCTTCATGGAGGGACAATCTTTTAGCCCTCAGAATATGTTTTGGGGATGACTCCCAGCTACTGCCACACCAAACCTTAGCCAAGTACCTGTAAAACTGACTGTTACACTCATTTTTGTGTTTGCTAAAATCACTTTGTTGTGGCAGCCGTTGCGTCACCACTGACCACTTGGAAACGTGGGCCGGTGTTGTGCCAAAAATCGATCGGCTTTCAAATGGCAGCTGCGGGAGCGTGCACGGGAGGACTTTAACAAGATTAACACTTAAAAACAATTATTTGTTTACTCAAAATTATAGCAAAAGGTGTGTCTCAGTCCAAGTTTTCCTTAATAAATGCACTTTAATGGTCAAAACATGGCAAAATGGAATCAACAGATACGCATACCAGTAAAAGCCTAGAGGGCCTCTAGTGCCTGTAGCGGCTGCAAATGGTAGTGTTCAATATTTTCCATGTCAGAATGAATGAGTCAGATGTCAGTCAAAAATTGGGTTATAAAAGGATTATCAAGAACATCTACTCGTCTTCAATCTGCCCGAGACACGCTGTGATTCAATTCAGGGTGGTGCACAGGCTGCACTGGTCCAAAGATAAGCTGTCCAAGATCAAGGCTGATCTGGACCCAGCATGCAATCGTTGCAAACAAACTCCAGCTACACTTCCGCGTACATTCTGGACCTGTCCCAAACTGCAGACCTTTTGGCAATCTATTTTTGACACTTTCTCTGGTAGAACTTTACACCCATCACCACTTATTCCACTGTCCGGGGTGGTCCCTTTGGACACGTCCTTCAGCAAATGCGAGAGGGATGTGATTGCCTTTGGCTCTCTTCTGGCCAGGAGGCTAATTTTGTGCAACAGGAAGGACCCACACTCCCCATCGTATGTACATCGATTAAGAGAGGTGATGTGTCATGCTCATTTGGAGAAGATACAAGAACTTAGAGAAGATCTGTGCAGAGGTATGGCGGCCATTTTTATTGTTTGTTGAGAGCGCGTATAATTTGTTTGTGTAATTTGGCTCAAATTGTTTTCCTTTTTTTTGCACGATTCATCTTTCAGCTTATTATTAACGTACATTTTGACCGAGCTTCTCTGTGTTTTTACCTCCACAGTTGATTTTCTTGACTGTCGGCCAACAGAACATCTGTTTTCATCTGAGTCAGATGTTTTCTTTTAGCAGAGCGATGACTCCGTCACTTTTCTTACACTCGTCTGTGACTCGGAGCACTTTTTTGTCCGCCCCTTTTTATTATTCGGTCTCTTTTTTTTTTTGATGACTTCATCATCCCAACGTGTCTCATCCTGACGGTTACCGTGGCAACCTGTTCCGTCATTCCCCGAGCTGTGGGAGTTTGTGCTCGGAGTGACTTTATAAGGAGCGTGAAGGAGCGCGCACTCGCTCCGGCGTGAGTAAGAGGAGCTGCTGACCTGTGGCGGCTCGTTTCAGTCCCCGTCAGCGCACCGTGATGAATTTACCGTTTCTGGTGTCCTCGTCGTGTTCTGCTTCTGCATGTACATCCTGAGCCTCAGGGACAATTACTTCATGAACGAGGCCGTGTTTACTGAAGGAAATGAAACTTGGAGGGACTTTGTCTTCATCTGCTCCAGCTGAGGCTGAGGAGACGGTCTTTACGTCTGAAGAAAGTCCTCATGTTGTGTGGAAAAAAACAGTGTCGGGATCTCTTTCCTTCGTCAAACGGACTTTTGGTTCCTAAAGTTCAGCCCCGTTGTGGTGCCATGTGATGATCTCCAAAGATCTAATTACATTTAGAAGAATTTCTGAAGTCATATTTTCATGTAAGGTATCAACAGGTGTCCCTCATCTCGCAAGAATTTGAATAGTGAATATCTGTAGTTTTTGAATGTTTTTCTTTTTCTTTTTGTATTTTAATTATTTTTTAAGGCAGCACAGAGTAACAGATCCAGGCAACCGGGTGGAGCAATTTTATCCACCACCGGGCACAAAGGTGGAGCCAGGGGGTGGCTAATGGTGGCTTTGGTCACCATAGATAAATCTTGGGCCACCCCACTCATTTGAGGAAAATATACTATTAAGCAATATAAAAGTAGAAAGCCTAGTTTCCTCAAATGACAGGGGTGGTGATCCCAAAGGGAAATTAAATATTGTAGCTCATCATCCTGGTTTCATTAAAGAGTTAGATGCTGGTGGCTGTGGGCAGGAAGGATCCCTGTCTTACAGGAGATCTGAAGAAACTGGTTGCAGATGTCGATCCATATCCTTGGACTTGGCAGATTTCTCGGTCTTCTTGAGCAGCAGGACCACCTGAATGTTGAGCAGAACTCATCCCTGAGCGATGGTCACTCCTCTCAGCAGCTTGTTGAGCTCCTCATCATTTCAAATAGGCCTGTCACGATAACAAATTTTACTGGGCGATTAATTGTCTCAGAAATTATTGCAATAAACAATAATATTGTTTGAAATTTGACAATAATTAGTAGTAATTGTCAAATTTAAGAAGAAATACTGGTTAATTTGTTTTGTGTGTAGAACCTCCTTTGACTACCGGATGGCAGTATAAGACTGTTTGAACCAAAGGATGGATAGTGAGGGAGCGAGCAGCGTGTCTCTTTAAGAAAAGTGGGAGGGAGGCTTCTTGACGTGACATGGGCTGTCTCTCTTTACTTTTATATCAGTTCTCAAAATGGCGGCTGCTCGGTGTGGTTTGAGCTCTTTAGCATAGCATTTTTCACACAAAGCTTTTAATTAAAAAAAAATCAGTAAACAAGTTCTCAGCTTCTTTTTGCAGAGAAAAACAACTTTTTAGACAAAGACATGGGTTTCAACCGTGAATTTTGAAGCTTAGACAAGATGTTTTTTTCCTGAGGTCGGCCTGTTAGCTTAGCTTGGAGCTTAGCTTCTCAGCTTAGCTGCTTTTAACGATCCAAAATCGTGATTTAGATCGTTAAAATAGATTTTAAAGAGAGAGGCACGGGGTTAGTGAAGAGTGCCAGAGTTGAGACTTGTCATCCAGTGTCTACAGCAGAAAGAGAGAGACACGAAGAAACGATAAAGCCGATAAATGCAAATGAAGTCAATAATTTTCGTTTATCATGCGATCAATTGATTTCTTGTTTATCGCGACAGGCCTAATTGTAGACAGCCAGCTGCAGGTGTCGGGGGATGATCCTGGTGTTGTTGTTGTCACAAGCAGCATTTCCCGCCAGCTCCAGGATGTCTGTGGTCAGGTACTCAAGCACCACAGCCAGGTAAACGGAAATGCATCCATGGCGCCTCCTTTTCAACTCATTTGGGATTGGCTGTGTTTGAGCTAATATTTGAGCTTTAAGATGTTAATCAGCACCCTATTGTAAAAAAAAAAAAAAAAAAAAAAAACTTGTCATGGTTACGTTTCATAACAAATGTCCAAAAATAAAAAGATTTCAGTAAAAATCCTTCCAGCTGCACAGCATCTGAAGTAATCATCCGAAAAACAGAGATTTACAGAAAAGGAGGACTTGAGTTTTCAAAAACCGTATCTCAGAATGAATGTAACAGATCTACTCCAACGTGCAGCCACCTTGAGCGGGGCAGTTCCAGAACTTTTCCTTGTCAGTCAAAACTCTTCATTAGTATCTAAAAAAGTTAAATCTGGTCCTCTAGACATTCAAAAAACAAAACAAAGCAAAACAACAACAAAATGTTGAAACGTTTCGTCTTTCATCCGAAAGACTTCTTCAGTCTGAGGTGCTGTATTCAGCTCAGTCTTATAAATAGCACCTTCTCAGAGTGGATCAACCAGTTTTGCTGCTGACAACCAAAACCAGTTGATCACATGGTCAAGAAGGACCATCAGCCTAACGAAGGATCATGAGCACACTGATGGCTGTTTACTATTCACAGGAGGCTGAGTGATACTAGCAATAACAGCATTGTAAGAGGGGGACAGTTGGCCTCCGTGTTCAACTGTCCCCCTCTTACAATGCTGTGATTGCTAGTATAAATTAACATTTATACGTATATGGTGGCAACCATCTTGAGTTTTGACCTGGCAATCCATTGTACGAAAGGAATTTTTTACGCCTAGATACAGCCACACACTAAAGTGGTACTTCACTTGTTTTTCAACAGTATTTCCAATTCCCCTTTTTGCTCCATGACGGGGGACCAAAATGGTGATTGATGTTGTTTATCTCCTCTGTATGCTCTTGTTTTATTGGCTTACTAGCAAAGTTCTATAATTTGGCCCTCCTTAGGTCAAAATCACCCAAGGCCTGAGTTTTAAATTAGGATTATTTGGACACAAGGACAACCGGGGGGTTAAACCTGCAAGACCCCCAAAGACACCGCCAATGAACCCAACCTAAGATAATCCCAGACCAACCATCATATTTATGAGTTTCTTTTTATCGCTCACCGCCAAAAGGTGAAGGTGGACTATGTTTTTGTCCGTGTCTCTGTTTGTGTGTCGAAACCATCTCGAGAACCACTGGACATATTTTAATGGAACCGCAGTTATTAAAAATACACAGAAATGCCTAAAACTCAGTTAATATATGTGCATTCCTTCAAAGAAGGGATTCTAGGTTTTTAATATCATGAGATTTTGGCTACAATGATGCATTAAAAAAAGACGTGATGTGTAACGTGACTACGAAGTCATGTGTACGCTTTGCTTCCCCTTTTCTAAAGGCAATGTGTTTGTGTGTCCTGTTTTAAATTGGTGACAAATGGATTCTTTTTTTCAATGGAAAAGAAGAGGATCTTTGATCGAGGTTGTTAAATCGTATATCAGTCACACTCCTCATGACCACGAGAAACATCTCACCACAATTTTTTGTCAACTTAATAAATGCTAATGCAATAAAACCTATCACAGTGACAGCTGAAATTTGCTGAAGATGAAACTGAGGTGTTAAAGCTAAAACGTATAAGAACACTGGCTAAACCTTCAAAGAAGCAAAATGCTAATTAATACAAGCAAAAATGAGCAAAAGGCTAACTAAAACTAAATGTACCATAATCTAGTTAGAAGCCAAAAATAGCAAAGAGCTAACTAAATTAAGCAAATGCTTATTGAAAACTAAATGTGAAAAAAGGCTAACTAAATCTAGCAAAAGGCTTGTCAGAAGCCAAAAATAGCAAAGAGCTTGCTAATTGTAGCACAATGCTACTTAAGTGTTATAATAAGCCAGCTAAAACTAGCAAAAGACTCAGAAGCCAAAATAGCAAAGACCTAGCTAAAAGATAAAGCAAGTTAGAAGCCAAAAAGCGGTAGCTAAATGCTAATTAAAAACAATGTGAAAAAAGGCTAACTAAAAGGGCTTTTTAGAAGCCAATAATAGCTAGGAATTAGCTAAACGTAACAAAATGCTAGGAAAATGTTATAATAGGCAAACTAAAACTAGCAAAAGGCTCATTAAAAGCCAAAATAGTGAAGACCTAGCTAAAAGATAAAGTAGCATAAGCTAGTTAGAAGCTAAAAAGAGCAAGCTTAATGTAGCAAAATGCTAGATAAATTTGATCAAAGGCCAATTAAAACTAGCAAAAGGCTAGTTAGAAGCTTTACAGCAAAAAGCTAGCTAAAAGATAAAGTACCTTAGGTACTACCTTAAGGGAGTTAGTTTTCAAAGAGCTACAAGTTGCAAAATACTAGCTAAAAACTAGAAGTAGCAAAATGCTAGCTAAAAGTAGAAAAGTGTTAGCTAAAAGCAAAATGCTAGCTCAAATCTATAAATGGTAAAAGGCTAACTAAAACTTGCAATGATCTAGCTGAAAGATAAAGTAGCAAAAAGCTGTCAAAAGTAGAAAAGTGTTAGCTAAAAGCAAAATGCTAGCTCAAATCTATAGGTGGTAAAAGGCTAACTAAAACTTGCAATGATCTAGCTGAAAGATAAAGTAGCAAAATGCTAGCTAAAAGTAGAAAAGTGTTAGCTAAAAGCAAAATGCTAGCTCAAATCTATAAGTGGTAAAACGCTAACTAAAACTTGCAATGATCTAGCTGAAAGATAAAGTAGCAAAAAGCTGTCAAAAGTAGCAAACGCTAACTAAGAGCTAAAAAGATGCAGAAGGCTAGCTTAAAGCTGAAATGATTAAAAGGTTAGCTAGAAGCAAAAAGTAGAAGAATGGTAGCTAAAACCTATGAATAGCAGGGTAATTAAAAATTAAAAGTAGCATTAGAAGATAAAAATAGAGAAAATATTCTGAAGCAGATTTCAAATAATGTTTTATTTTATTTAAAGCTATCTCAAAGAAAAAATATTTTCAAATAAAGTATAAAAGTGACAAAAACCAAGTCATAGCACTTGTCTCCTGAACGAGTTGAACATTTTGATACATAAATGGCTACAAAGTGTCCAGCGGTTAGTGCGATCGCAACAGGAAAACTGAAGTATGAATGCTGAGTCGGCAAAATTGAGTTTTATTTTTTTCATGAACCACAACAATTTTATTTGACACTGGAGCTGTTTAAAATGGCAGCAGTCCACTTTTGTCCTCCACCCTCCTCTGAGCTCTTAGCCGGTCAGTCCGGTCAGAATTCAAGTGTTTCTCCGAACGTCAGAAACCTTTCTGCAACAGGTAAGATACTGTCACACAAAACCTAATTTCAAAAGATCTGATCTATTAAAGTGCATTCTTTCCATACTGCTTGGTGGGTGTGGATGAAGTGGGTCAAAGGTGAAGCTCGACCTTCGAGGTGGACGTTAAACTACAGATTTATAACCACCAGCTGATCAGGTTCACCGTTAACGACTGATAATCACTGATAACGAGATACTTGCAGGTGGTGTGGAGAGGATTCACTGATGGCGTATTTTAGTTCCCGTTGAGCCCGTCTGAACCTCCATCAGGATCTGTATGAACCGTAGATTTATCTGTTTGTCGAAGGACATAAAGAGAAGGTGTTTGTGGACAAAAGGAGACCAGAAGTCCTTGATAGGGAGCGAGTGTTTTTGCTGCTGGTGTGTGTGAGTGGATGACGACAGCGGGTGCAGGTTTGGGCAGGGCTGCTGTGACGTTCTGCATTAAAGGGAGTTTTTCTGAGCTGTGCTCACTCGTTCAGTCACAGTCAGCAGGAAGAGACGAGAAGGACAGGAAGCAGCTGGACATTTGGTAAGACTTTAACTCAATTCCTTTATTTTCTTTCATCATCTAAACACTTTTTCCATCTGCTCAACATGCTACAACTTGTTTTCTTTGTTTTATTATACGAGTACCTTTCCAGCCTGGATCGAACAGGTGTATTATTTCAATGTTATATCAAATTATTGTGTTAGATTGTAAATAAACGTGGCTTCTTTAATTCAAAAGTTGAGGATAATAAAAGACTTAAAAGGAGAAGTTTAGGTTTTTAGAAGACTTATTTAAAAATGCCTCAGCATTTTACTTTATAACATATTTGTCTTTTAAATACAACGAACCTAAACTGAAAAAATACTAAGAATATAGATTAAAAAAAAGAAACCCATGGGGACAGAAAGTTATCAGAAATATATGTATTATTTTACCATTGAGTCTTTCTAAATGTATTTTCTTTTCATGCAATTAGAAGAATATATACATATATATTGAAATTGGTTCATTTTAAGTAGTCAGTGTCTTACCTGCAGAGGATATCAATCAGCTTGCTCTCATTGTAAAGGAAAAATAAGAATTTTTGATAACTGGTACGGTAGAATATTTTACCATTAATAACACCTAAAATCCACTAAATTAGCTTTTTAAATAATTATTAGTTATTAGTTATTAGTGGTTGGTGGTCTGAAAACATTAAACAAACAAACAAGAAGAAAAAAAGTGGAAACGCAATTCATCATGAAAATCAGCGGTTTCTTAAGCCGGGATCCTACTATGGGTCCTGTAACACCAATAGATGAGCTCCAGAAATTTAAATAAAATAATATTTTCATCCTTTAATACCGTAACTATGACGTCATAGCTATAGGAACCATCACAATTACACAGAAAGTCTCAGACGTGGTTCGTAAACTTTTCTTTTACTTCACTCACATCTACACAGTTTGTAGCAGAAGCTTTATCTGCACAGCGAAAATGCAACCAACCCCAGGTTCACCGTTTTAGCTGTAACTTTAAAAATTAAGCACCAAAAGGAGAGGGCGGTATTAGCCAGGACTGGTCATATCCTTTTTAAATAAGAAAATTAGTGCATTTTACTCACCAAAAATGCTAATTTTTAAAAATAAATACTATGTGCAACACATGAAGTATTCAGTTTCAACTAAAAATCTTAGAAATCCAATTCAAGAAGATGACTCTTCTAGTCGTTTTTCCAACATACGTTTTTCTGAGTTCATTGATCTTTACGTACACTTGAGTTTCCCAATAAATTTTCAAAGGCACTATAGCTTGTACAAACTGGATTCCACAAAAGTTGGGACACTAAACAAATTGTGAATAAAAACTGAATGCAATGATGTGGAGGTGCCAACATCTAATATTTTATTCAGAATAGAACACAAATCACAGATCAGAAGTTTAAACTGAATGTATCAATTTAAGGGAAAAATCTGTTGTTTCCAAATTTCATGGCGTCAACAAATCCCAAAAAAGTTGGGACAAGTCCATTTTTACCACTGTGTGGCATCCCCCCTTCTTCTTACAACACTCAACAGACGTCTGGGGACAGAGGAGACCAGTTTCTCCAGTTTAGAAATAGGAATGCTCTCCCATTCATGTCTAATACAGGCCTCTAACTGTTCAATCGTCTTGGGCCTTCTTTGTCGCACCTTCCTCTTTATGATGCGCCAAATGTTCTCTATAGGTGAAAGATCTGGACTGCAGGCTGGCCATTTCAGTACCTGGATCCTTCTCCTACGTAGCCATGATGTTGTGATTGCTGCAGAATGTGGTCTGGCATTATCGTGTTGAAAAATGCAGGGTCTTCCCTGAAAGAGATGACGTCTAGATGGGAGCATATGTTGTTCTAGAACCTGAACATAGTTCTCTGCATTAATGGTGCCTTTCCAGACATGCAAGCTGCCCATGCCACAAGCGCTCATGCAACCCCATACCATCAGTGATGCAGGCTTCTGAACGGAGCGTTGATAACAACTTGGGCTATCCTTGTCCTCTCTGGTCCGGATGACATGGCGTCCCAGTGTTTCATAAAGAATTTCAAATCGTGACTCATCTGACCACAGAACAGTCTTCCATTTTGCCACACTCCATTTTAAATGACCCCTGGCCCAGTGCAAAAGTCTGAGCTTGTGGAGCTTGCTTAGAAATGGCTTCCTCTTTGCACTGTAGAGTTTCAGCTGGCAACGGCGGATGGCACGGTGGATTGTGTTCACTGACGATGCTTTCTGGAAGTATTCCTGAGCCCATTCTGTTATTTCCTTGACAGAGGCATTCCTGTTTGAGGTGCAGTGATGTTTAAGGGCCCGGAGATCACGAGCATCCAGTAGAGTTTTACGGCCTTGACCCTTACGCACAGCGATTGTTCCAGATTCTCTGAATCTTTTGATGATGTTATGCACGGTTGATGATGATAACTTAAAAGTCTTTGCTATTTTACGCTGGGTAACACCATTCTGGTATTGCTGCACTATCTTTCTGCGCAACAATGGTGGAATTGGTGATCCTCTTACCATCTTGGCTTCTGAGAGACACTGACAATCTGAGAAGCTCTTTTTATACCCAATCATGTTGTCAATTGACCTAATTAGTGTTAATTGGTCTTCCAGCTCTTCGTTATATGCTCAATTTCCTTTTTCCAGCCACTTATTGCTACTTGTCCCAACTTTTTGGGGATTTGTTGACACTGTGAAATTTTGAATCAACATATTTTTCCTTTAAAATGTTACATTTACTCAGATTAAACTTTTGATCTGTCATCTATGTTATATTACGAATAAAATATTGACATTTGCCATCTCCACATCATTGCATTCAGTTTTTATTCACAATTTGTTTAGTGTCCCAACTTTTTTGGAATCCGGTTTGTAAAAACCACTTGAAAAATCATTAATTATTGCCCCATCCTTTTTGTATCACTGTAAATAAATCAGCAGGTGCCCTCCCTGCCAACACTGATTGTCTTGTTAATGGTATGATTTTGGCTGCTGTTCAGCCTCCACTGAGATGGCTCAGTGTCAAAGTCCGACTGTATGTTTGCCCTTCTGTATTTGTATATACAGTATCTGTAAGAACACTGTGTCTTTAGTTTTGACAGACAGTGATTATCTCAACCCTGATAACATCGATACCGACTCCTTGGAGTGCATACCATCCAGAGCAGTATATCTGCACTGATAAACGTCTTGACTTTTGCACAATTTGTACCCGTAAAACTGGTATTTGCAGTTATTATCCATCAATAATCTTTCATGGCATTTTAACATTCCTTAAATCTTATTTTGTCAACTCCCTGATTTAATGGGAGCCATTATGAAATGACAAATGACCCAAAAAGATCTAAAGAATTGCACTAATCTACAGTAATTGCTAATCTCATGTCTTTTTTTTTTTTTGTAGAAGTGACAAAAGAGATTTGGAAAAAGTCGGTGAGAGGAGTGCAACGGAGAAGATGACAATTGGTAGGAACTCCAGGAAAAGCTCCGTCCGAAGCTCCATCCGGACCCCAAAGTTTCTGGATAAATCCAGCGGTTTTTACGGTCGCCTGGACGAGCCTGAGACCTCCGCAGAGGTGGAGGAGGTCAGGGGGGATGGAGTAGAAGATGGCAGCAAAGAATACGGAGTCGTGAGCGGCCCGTCCCTAAACGTGGTGCGCAAGTCAGGAGCAGAAGAAGACGAAGTGGCGTTGGACTTCACTGATGGTTTGATTGAGGACGACGGAGAGACTCTTCTGTGCAGGAAACCCAGCCGCCGGAGCAGTAGATGGAGAAGAAGCACCAGGAGGAAACAGAAGGAGGCAGAGGAGGAGCACGCCCGAGACGAGAGGCCCAGCCTGGGTGCTGGTAGTGCGTTGGACGCCCCCATCCTGGAGGACAAGATCAAGATGGAGCAGGAGAAACTAAAAAAGATGGAGGAGGATAATGAGAAGGCCGGCGTCACGAAGGAGCCTCCTCTGGTTCACTTCAAAGTTCAAGAATTTTCTGACGACCGGGTTCTGATCAGAGACAAGAAGCGAGGAAGAGAAGAAGAAGGTGAGGAGGAGATGAAGATTACGAAAGAGCAAGAAGAGGGCATGAAAATGGTGAAAAGGAAGAATTATCGCAAGGTGAGCTGTTGTCAGTGTGAACAGCCTGGTTCATATTTACATAAATTCCACATTAACCTTACCTGGTTAAACTTTAAACCTCTGAAGGTTACGTAACCGAGCATTTCGTGTAGGGGGGGAACCGAAGGCAAAGTCCTGCCTCCACATTACGCACACTGGTCATTAATCTCCATGGAAACTCCTCATATCGCCTTAATAATCCTCCACCACAATGGTCAAAGTACAGCAGCCAGTGGTGCGTGTCACCAACACGTTAATTAGGATCGTTCCTTTGCGTCATCTTTATTGACTCGTAAATATTAAGCCGGTGCAGGTTTCGGTGTTCAGACGACCGCCTGTATTTTCACCTGCCTCGCATGTCGTAACGATTTTCTGCTCCAGCTGAAACACACACAAACCCAGAGGGGACATTCCTGTGGCTCTTATAATGTCCTTTGATCAGTGGAACGAGACCGGGCAGCCCTGACCTTCATGCTAAATCAACGGCACAAAAACATTCCTCCGATGTCAATCAGCTCTGACCCCAGGCGTCGGAGTTGGAACTGGAGATAATTTTTTAAAAAGTCTGTATGCTGTTTTGAAGTTGTCGTACTGTTTCTGGGTATTCCACACCTGAGAGGTTGGACTACAGGTTACAAGGTAAAAATTCCTCAACGGTAAAAAGTTTCCACGTTTGGCAAGAGGCGTGGACAAGTGGTTCCCAACCACAAGATTTTCAGGCAGATTGTACAGTACAGAGGAAAAGTCTTGATTTGTCCCATTAATTTTTTTCCCACTTGCTTCATTTCAAAGAGCCAGACTCTTCTGTAATCTTTTTAAAATGAGAAATGTAATTTTTGTCAAGCTTTGAGGCGGTCTTTTAACATCCATCCATTATCTTTTACTCGTTTCTTTCTTTTTGTGTCACGGGGGTCACTGATGCCAATGTCTAGCTGTCACTGTGCGAGAGGCAGGGGACACCCTGGACAGGTCACAAGTCCATCACAGGGACACAAAGAGACAAACGAGACAAACAACCATTCACTCTCTCACTCACACCTATTTAGAGTTACCAATCAGCCTAACATGCATGTTCTTGGTCTGTGGGAGGAAACCGGAGTACTCTGAGGAATCCCACTATTTTTTGCTGAGTCATCTAACTCTGATATAACAATTTCAATCAGGCATAAACACTCTGTCTGGTTAAGCCCTTTGTTTACCGGTCTCCACAGAGATAGGGTGAGAAGTTCAGTTATGTGGGGGAGACTCGAAGTAGAACCGCTGCTCCTCCACATCGAGAGGAGCCAGTTGAGGTGGTTCGGGCATCTGGTAAGGATGCTTCCTGGGCATCCTCTCCGACTGAGAGGAGACCCCGGGGAAGACCCAGGATACCCTGGAGAGACTATGTCTCTCTGTTGGCCTGGGAACGACTTGGGATCCTCCCAGAAGAGTTGGAAGAGGTGGCTGTCGAAAGAGATGTCTGGGTCACCCTGTTCAAGGTACTGCCCCTGCGATTCGACTTGGGAACAAGCGGAAGATAATGGATGGATGGCTAGATGATGGACGGATGGATGGACGGATGGATGGATGGGCAGGCGGGTGGGCATAAACACCTCTTAAGCCAAAAAGATGGACCAGGGTTGTGTCTAGGGCCAAAAACAAATTTTACACTAGATTTTTTGCTAGAAACAAGACAAAATTTTAGCTAGCTAGCCAGTCACTAGCTGGCTAAGTACCAGGTAGTATTGAAGACCTTAACTTGCTAGCTAGTAGTTTATGTTACTTACTAGCTAGAATCAAATGTACTAGCTAGCAAGTTGTATCAGAGTTACTAACTAGCTAGTATCAAAGCCTCTGACTTGCTAACTAGTAGTACCAAAATTAATAATAAACAAGTCAATAGTTTGCTAAATTGGATCAAAGTTACTGGCTACCAATTCAATAGCTTGTTAGCTCTTGCCAGTACGTGGCAAGTTACAAGCTAGCTCTTTGATACCAGGAAACAGCCTGTAATAAAGGCAAAATTATTCCCCAATTCTTTAGTGGAATCTATAAAAGACACAACGATAACGCTGTTTAATATGTAAAATTGTATTTTAACACCAACAAGGTTTTCCAAAATAGCAATCTGAGGAAAATTAGGCTTAGATGATCAAGCACATTGGAACACATGGCATGTTATGTTTTCATGGTCAGGCACAAACACTGCACTGACTAAATTAAGTGGGAAAAGCGAGCAAAGTCCAAAGAAAAAGATCTCAAGAAAACCTGAAGCGCGTTTGGTCAAGACCATTTTATACCACATGAAAGTCTGGCTCTCTGAAAACAAAATACCATACCATACCATACTACTTTTATTTAAAAAGCACTTAAAAACAGCAACAAGGCCAACCAATGTGCTGTACAGCAAAAACAAACAAGCAAAGGATTATAGAATACAGCCAAGAACTTAAAATCAACTCGCACAGTGTCAAAATCCAGGGAATAAAAGTGTTTTTAAATGTGACTTAAAAACAGTAAGAGAGGGAGACTGCCTGGCATGCAGTGGTAACTCATTCCACAGTCTTGGACCTGCAACAGAGAAAGCCCTGTCACCTCTGAGCTTAAAACGAGTGCCTGGAACCAATAAAAACATCTGGTCTCCTGACCTCATAGGGACATATGGCTGCAGCAGATCAGTGAGATGGGAGGGGGAAGAACTGTTCAGAGATTTAAAAACATACAGAAGATTTTTTAATGAATTTGAAAGTGAACCTGGAGCCAGTGAAGGGAGGCCAGAACTGGAGTAATCTGCTCTCTTTTTGCCTGTACCAAAATATAAAAAAAATAGTCATGGTTTAAAACTTTTTAAAAGTTCATTACATTCAAAACACTTATCGAGAAAAGCCAGAGTTTGTCATTTTATATTATATATCTTTATTTTCTGGGAGTGTTTTTGTAGAAAAATTGTGGTGTGATTCTGCACCACCTGCAGAAACGATGATCCGTTTGTGCTCGAACAGGGAAGTTTGGTTTCCGTTGAACTGCAGCAGTGACCCGAAGCTTTCAGAATACACAAGAAGAGGTGTAAACACACAAAACTAAAGAAGAGTAGAAACATAAACAGTTTGGATTTGGACTGAATATATAAACTGATTCTGGCAGATCCTGATCATCCCCTCCATGGTGAGTTCAGGTTGCTTCCATGTGGACGCAGGTATCTACAGCCCAGATGTGGAATGAAGAGAGTAAAAAACTCATTCATCCCTGTAGCGATCAGGCTTCTCAAAGAACAGTTATGATTTCATTTATTATTTTAATGTCTCGTCTAGTAAGGATGTTTTGTGTGCCGACTGACTGTGAAACAAATTACCCCTTGGGGGACAATAAAGATATTTGAACTTTAAAATATAATATTCACAAAGAAAAGGTTTTGAAGAAAATTTAAGAATAACTACTCAAGAGAGACAAAAAATAAACATCTATATTTTGATGTTTCTAAGATGCTCACGCCTCCTCTTCCTCCTCTCGTCAGGCTTTCGACCGAGCACTTCGCCGTGGCTGGGAGGCCTTCATCACCAACCTGTACAGCGTCACGCTCACACCTGTCACGCCCTCTTCATCATCATCATCACCTTCACAGAAGAAGAAGGATCAGCATAAAGCAGCGCTAGCTGAGTTTCAGTAGAGCTGGATCGGATTACGAACATTTTAAAGTTACTCTTTTTAAACGTGTGATGAAATCGGGGCCGAAGCGGTGCTTTATCTTGTGATATTTACGGTGCCTTCACTTCGTGTGACAGAGAAGACCTCAGAAGCATTCATTATTTGTGTTGAATATTTGACTAGTGTCGAGTTTGCACACAAACTGCAGATGTTTATGCGTCAAACAGCTGTGGCTTTTGTATCAAAGTTTGTTTTATTGCAGCTAAATTCAGCTACATTGTTAATTTATTCAGAAGAAGAGCCGTCTTAGTTCTGTACATCTGATCCATCATTCCTGTTTCCTTTGGGTTAGCATAATGAAACACTCGAAGTGTTGATGTGTAACCCAGAAAAGGAGCCACGGATTGAAAGAGAGGCAGTGACTGATGAATGGATTATTTATTTTCACATATTTATGATCAGTACTGTCTTTTATTGCTGCCTGACAGGTAACTGAGGGTACAAAGAGTGAAATAGTCATGCAACCCTGCCCTAAAGTCAGTATTAAGTCTAATTTTAACCCATATTACTCCAAATATTCTGTATTTATTATGCTTATAATTATAGATAGAAATGTCTAATTTTAACCAGCTTGATTATTATTATTTTTTACATTTGTTATGTGTTTCTCATAAAGCCTGCATGTGTGTTCTGGTGATGGTTTTTTTTTTTAAACCTGAAGGAACTGAACATGTTTGAATCTAAAAGAAAGAAATGAATAAATAATGCTTCATTTTGTTGTTTTAAATGAGTAATGGACACACCAGTATGACCATTTGACGTGTTTGCAGCTGCTTAACGTTTTAAATGTTTTCTTTTTAAAGAAACCACAGCCTTAATATCCTGTATTTAAAGACGGTTAATTATTGATTTTTAAAAGTGAAAATTGTGTTTTGAATCATTTCCTGTTTGTACTTTTTTAATCACTTGATGTATTTAGTTGTTGCAGCAGCAGACTGAATAAAACAACAAATGTTCTTAATCTTTTTTTACTTAAATTTGATTTTTTAATTTTTTTATATAAAGTCTTTATCATAGCTTCATTAGATATAAACTAGAGGGAAATCTCTCAGATCGGAGGCAATGTGTTCAACATAATGGTACTTCTTCCAGTTATTTAACTGTTGGCAATGGTGTACCACAAGGCTCAGTCTTAGGACCCACCCTCTTTACAATCTACATAAGTAATGTAGGTCAGATCATCCCTGACGCATCCTTAACATTTCTATGCCGACGACACAGTTGTTTATTGTCGAGCTTAATCGGTTGCTACGTTTTTCAGCGTTTACAGTCTTCATTCGACATCATCCAGTCAGATTTGTTCCATCTCAAACTAGCGCTAAATAAAACCAAAGGGATGTTGTTTTCAAACGGGAAGTTGGTACCAGCAGTCTTTCCTTCTGTCTTATCTATGAATGGTGTTCCTATTGAGTTTGTCAATTCTTACAAGTGCTTGGAAATCTTGGTCAATGCACATCTCTCTTTTCAGCCTCATGTTGAAAACTTTGATTAAAAAATGTAAATAAAAAACTTGGTTTCTTTTTCAGAAATGGATCCTGTCTAACTCTGAATGCTAGGAAACACCTTGTAACTGCTACTTTCTTTCCCTCCATTGACTATGGTGACATTATTTACATGAACACCCCCATAAGCTCCTTGCAGATGTTGTGCAGTACAAATAAAACAGTGGCACGTATGATGTAATGTTTCAAATATTCTAAAGGGAAATGAAGGATTTAAAATGCTGTGATCCTGCAAACAAAAATGGAGTGGTTTATATGCTTCGTTTCAACAAAACAACACAGCTTAGAAGCACTTTGTAATATTTTACAGTCTTTAATTGCTAAATAAAAACTTGCCTCTAAACTGCAGGTGTAATACAGTTTGTTTTTCTTAAAAAGAAGAAAATCTGTTCTGATGGTTTACAGGAATGGAACTGTACCAAACAGTACACCGATGTACCCCGTCACTGAAGGATTTGAATAGTGAATGTTTGTAGTTTTTGAGATAAGTGTTTTTGTTTTTTTCTGGACTGGAATTGAACAGGAAATGCACAGTAAGTAAACCTTAATGTTTTTGGTGCAAGATATTCAAGTGGGTAGGAGCTACACTGTAGAAGAAGAGAGGATTTTTTTTCTTGTCCAAGAATTGTCCACAGAGTTATAGATCCTGGAGAGCAAAGGGAGCAATTTACACCAGATTCAATGGCGGAGCCAGGGGGTGGCCAATGGTGGCCTTGGCCACCAGAGTTATGTTCAGCCACCTCAGTCATTTGAGGAAATTATACTTGGAAGCAATATAAAAACTATAAAGCATAGTTTCCTCAAATGATAGGGGTGGTGGGTTTACACATATATATGATGGTGGCCATCTTGGATTTTGACGTGGAAAACCCATTCTTGAAAGAATCTTTCTTGTGCCTACATTTACACAAAAATAGAAGATTGCCCGTTGCTTAATTTTCAAGGTATCGTGCTCACAACATGCACGGATGGATAGACAGAGGGTATTTCCAAATACCCCCTTTGACTGGGACAACAAAACATTAAAATCCCATTTTACTAAACTCTCCTGCCTATATTATTTAAATTATTTAATAATTATAAGATAATAATAGAATAATAATTGTTATTATATAATTATTATTAATATTATGAAATTAATAAAAGATTTGAGGACTACTGGTTTTAATAAACTTTATTTATAAGATTGATTATAAGAGTTTGTTTGTTTTTTTCCAATCTCAGGTCATCTGTCCTCGGCCAAGGAGTGAGAGTTAGATAGGGATTTTTTTTTTTTAACTCCAAATCCTATACATGTGTCACTTTCATTACTTTTTGTCTGTCTAAATAGGTCTCACTTGTAAATGAGTCTTGGAGGCTCAATGTGAATTATCTGTGTAAATAAACGTTGAATTAATTAATATTATATTAATATTGTTTAACAAAGGCCTATATCTTAGATCCCTGTACTGTATACTGTTTATTTTTATTTTGGGGTGTAACTGGGACCTTGAGTACACAATTTTGTTCCACCTTATGTCCCACAAGTCTCCTTAAACCTCCTTGAACCTCTTTATATTATGGAGTTTATTTTCCTGTATCTGCTGCCCTCTGGTGGCAAATATAGTCATTTTCGTTCCAAATATATTTTCTAATCAAGGCTTTTTTCATTTACAAATAACAGGTTTCTCTTGCAAACGGTTTATTTTAGATTTAATGTTTATTTGAAAATAAAATCAACCTTCATGCAGTTGTTTTCGCGGGTAAACTGTCGATGTAGGCGGAGCTTATCTCTTGGCATATAAAAGCTGAAATAACCGAGCGGTTCGTCCACTTTCTTCCGCTTTCCGTCGGTGGTAAGTTCAACTATCGATGATTAATTTTAATACCATTTTAAACAGATATTCTCTCATTTATTGTGTAACATTTTAGTTTAAACTCCTAGCAGCTGAGTTAATGTTGCGGCCATTTCTTTTAAAGATATTTGTAATGTTATAACTTCCCTCTGTTCTTGACGGTGCAGCGCTGAGCCGAACTGGGAACAATCTTCAACCATCCGCCATGAAATTCTGCTAATATCGTTTGGATACAGATCTAATCGTAAACAATAATAAGTCCCGACAGTTTTTATGCAAGTATTGAGTCACGGCCACAACACTTAAAAGTGATTTGGTTTGATTTAATGGACGGCCGCAGTTAGCTTGGCGCTAGTGCTAGCTAGCATCGTCTCAATGATGAAAACTTTTCACAGACCTGTTCTGAATGACTGTGAATGCACCGTTTTTATTCTGATGTGAGACGATTTGTTTCGTTTTAATTTATTTTACCTGATTCGTGCTGTCCACGAGCACGTTGCGTGGATCAGTCACGTGGCTGCGTGATAACGCCGCCTGCTAGCATGTAGCATGCTAATGAAGATGTGTTCTGTGCTTTTTCCAGACTGGGAACATTAAAAACGAGCTTTGCTGCTAAAGGTAATGTTTCATTGAGTTTTGACAGTTGTGTATATATTTTTTTTACCCTCTATGGTGTCATGTTGCCTCCAGGCGACAGCATTTTAGAGTAAAAGTTAATAAATGCTAACATTTTGTGGTATTATTCAAAAGCACTTCTCTACAGCGAGCATCAATTTTAATGTCTCCCTTCACTGAAAAGTGCATTTTCACCCAAATCATTATTAATCCAACCTATCAGTGGGTAAACTTTTGTAAATATTAAGGTAACATGTCATCAAATACATCAATTACCACAAAGAAAAATGGCCCTGAAACACCAATGTAGTCATTAAATGTCATGTGGTGATCCAGATGTGCAAAGTTTACAATGTTTATAAAAATGCATAAAGATATTTTCCAAAAGCATGTTAAGGATTATAGCAGGAGGTTGTTCTGCCAGTTGATGCGCAAGGATTAACCTAAGTAAAGGTTGAATAAAATAAAAAAAGGATGAGGACACGTGGTAATTAGATTGATACGTGCTGTTACTAATGCTCTACTACCAGTACATATAAAGCAACAGGAAGTGGTTAAAATAAAACCTAAAGATGAGAATAAAGATACAATGCTGTACTAGGGTTGATAAGTGAATTAGTTGTAATTCCTCACAATAGTTTAACTTTTTTCCCTATGGGAGGCTGTGGAAGTAGATTATCAGAATAAGGTGAATTTTAATGTTTTGAAGCAATAATTGCAAATTTTTAGTTTAGTGTAAGTTTGCATGACAACATATCTGTTAAAGATGACTTCCTGCTTTAAATCAACCAATTTAACAAGGAGGGTCGAGTGCTACAGTGATGTCTTATTGAACTCTCTTACTGATTACGTCTTGAGGACAATTCGTACCATTTTCTGAGTAGCACCAAGCCCTGAAAAATAACTTGTCGTTGTTGCTCCTAAACCCTGACTTTATTTTATTTTTTATTTTTGTCCCCCAGGTGTGAAGATTGACCCTCCCTTCATAAAGAGGTATTTATTTAACTAGCTGTTAATAGATTTGATAATTTGCAGTGCTGCAAGCTCAAATAAATTTATATATAAATTGTAAATGTATAAATTTGCCCTTGAGCTTGTGTGCTGCAGTGATGGAGTTATGAACTCTCTCTTACTGAATCAGCCTTGGAAGAAACTTATTTACCAGAAACTGAGTAGCATAAAGGTTCCAGCAAACGCCCTCTTAACTTGACATGTTTGATTTACATTAAAAAACGAATCTTATTATTCCAGATGTTCACAGCTCAGTCTTTCCTTGTGAGAAACGCGACCCATAAACAGCAGGTAAGAAGCTTTAAAGTTCAAATCTTTAACGTCGATAAAGGCTTACACTGATGACCTAACTACTGACGAGCATATGCCTGACCTTCTGTGATGACGGCTTGTAGATCTGAAGAGCCTTTCTGAAAAGCAATAATTCACAATGTTCCAAACTTTGTTATTGAGATTTTGTTTTCTGTTAAAAGGTGACCGCCATGTGCTGTTCATGCAAACAACAAGGTGTTGGGAAAATCAAAGGTGAGCTAAAGTGTAAGAACATGAGAATGATCAGCTGTGGGTACAAAGGTGATGATTCTAATTTAGAGACGAGTATATGCCTGAAAAAAGTGATGCCAACTTTCTCTGATTGCCCAAAGTTTAGACTTTATAAACCCTCGGTTTGTGTGAGATTGTGACCTTCATGTTTGTCTGCAGGTGGAGGCTTCGTGTGACGTTCCAGCTGAGATGCTTCACAATCTTGGTAATTTTTCTTTAAAGCTTTTTACCAATGCCTACGTTAAACGAAGCTCTGCAATATGGACCAAAATTAATATCTTGATATTTTAAGATCAACTATGATATACAATATAACACTTGTTTTTTCTCCTTTCCATAAAGTAATTAATAAATATATTTCTGCGTCACAGCTTTGTCCCAGTTGTAGCACGGACACATTTCTTAAAAGTTGTAACTACAAAATGTTAAAAAAAAACTATTTACATATATTTTTAGACCTTATTATTTACGTATATTAAATTATTCAGCTGCGCTGCTTTCACAACGTTGGTGAGCTTGTGTGAACGCAGCTGCAGGTCCAACTGACTTCAGCATCCTTCCCTGAAACACACGGTATAAAACTCTTATGCTGTGCCTTGTAAGGAGAAGTGAAGTGGCACGACGTCGATAAATCAGCATCTTATCGGATCACTAAAGATGCGCTCCCAGTCTCAGCTGTGGAACCGGACTGGTAAAGCGTTAGCTGTCTGTTAGCTGCTAAGGACTGTCTTTAGTGATATAAGCTGCTGCTTTAATAATGTTGTGGTGCCACCTCTCAATTGGGAATGTGTGATATGGCATAAAACTCATATATGTATTGTAAAGGGTGGCGATAACTATACATCGATATGATTTGGGTATAAAACTTGCTAAAAAAAAAAAAAAAAGCATAGGGTGTCCTTTTGCCATCATATTTTGAATTGTGTAAATTCCACTACTAGGTCCAAGAGTTTTTAAATAATAAACAGATCAAGTATTGGGCTTCTTTCTTGTAGTGCAAAAGATATCAAATGTATTTTTAGTCATATGTTTTAAACCAAAAAATATATATTAACTCGTCCAGTCTTGCTTAATAAATAAACAGCAACAGGGCAGCATTTTACGCTGAAGCACTTCACCCTCCAAACCTCTAGTGGGCGCCTCCTTCTTTAAGGAGTGCTGACACAAAATGAGTGTGACCAGAGGGTCTCGCAGTAAAATCACAACACAGCGTTCTTTTCACAGATCAGAGCAGGTTTCTCTAAAGCGACGATTAAATCCAACAACTCTGATTTTACATCAAACGGCATTACTGCGGTTAGATAGACTGATCTATCGTAGGCTAAATTTCTATCGTTTCTACCGTATATATCGTGCATTCCTGCTCTCAATGTTCCCCTCATAAGGCACAGCTAAACAAGTTTTGACCCGTGGTTTCAGTTTAAATCCAAACATCTTCGATGCAACGGCCGTTTCTGTTTGTTCGTTTAACTATAGTCTCATATCGCCAAAAAAAAAGCTTTATTTTTAAAATATCTCTTGCCCAGCTCCAACACTGAGATATTCATTGTTAAGACTTAAGAACTAATACTGTAGAAATTGTATGCTTTAAAAGACTATAACAATTCATCTGTTCAAACTGGTAAAAAAAAGATTTATTTCAAATCACGTTTGTCTAAATCAAGTTGTGGAGGTTTGAGAGGATGACCCGATATGACTTCTGGACGACTAATGTCTCTCGTGGCAGTTTTTCACCAAAGCCCTGATCAAACCTCCAACAAACCAAAATAAACCAATGGAATAACTAAACCTTTGTGCTAAACTGTATTAAATGATGTTCCCTGCAGGGCCTGGTTCGACTGGTTTAAGGATGTGAAGCCCTGAACAGAAGATCCTGGTGAGTTCTCTTCACTCGACGTGGTTCTGATGGTTTGATGTTTCAGTGATGATGAAACTTAGCTCACTTTGACCCGCTGTGAAACGACACGAACATCTGAGAAACGGCAACTTATTATCGGTTTATAAAGTTTTATTGCTGCAAACCAGGTAACTGGTTTGTATCCTGATTAATTTTAACTTTCCCCCCGTCAGGAGGTCGAGCTGCTGCGGAGCCGTGATGGAGGTTAAAGGTGCGTTCATGTCTCGTCTGTAGAATAGAAACGCGGCCTGCTGCTGAAAATGATGAGATCTCTATGGAATCTCGTTCGTCTGAACTGCTGTTGATAAATTAAACCTCTGACATCGGCACAGTCCCGACGTTTATCGGGTTAAAGTCCCCCGCAGAACGGTTCTTCACCTCCACTCTTTCATCTTCCAGGTTCTTGGCTCGTGACGACTGTCGCCTCGGATCACACGTGTTCGTCCAGGTGAGTTGATGATTCAAGCGTGGGCCTCGTTTCCTTCGTGATGACACCCGCACGCGTCTTACGCCATGTGTCGATGCCAGAACCTGAAAAGGTGAACCCACTGGCGTTGCCATGGCAGCAGGGGGACGACTTGTTGGGGTTACCAACAGTCTGAATGGAAACTGTAAAAGCGCAGCTTTAACTTGCTGCTGATATAAAGAGGTCCGGTTCTGACTGCTCGTCTTTGTTCTTAGATGTTCCTGTTGGCTCGTCGTCGAAGCACTGCCGTCCCACGAAGGTTTGTTTCTGTTGGTGCTGAAGCTGCGTTAGTAACCAGAGTAGACGTGATGAGTTTGAGTCGATACCGCCCCAGTCTGAGTTCCTGTGACTGATTGGTATCCCCCCCTGACGCTCCTCTGAAACGTGACGTTAAAACGCGTTGGACTTCAAACACTGACCCTTTTCTCTTGTTGCAGGTGGTTCTGAACCGTGTGGTCCCATCCAACACCTGCACGCTTCACGTTTGGGTCTCTCCCCAGAATAAAGCGCTGCTTCTTCTTGTTGGTGAGTCAGTTTCATCTTTTGAAGCTGATGATGAACTGAGATGATGCTTTTTGTGGATACCGCCCCAGTCTGAGAAGCAATGACTGAATGGTATCTTCTCTGATCTCCACGTTTATAAATGTTTGTTCCAGTTTTCTCCTCAAACTGGGTCACTAATCCTCGTGTGTTTGCAGGTTTCTTTCAAGCACCGAGATGCTCCTGGCTTCACCACAGACTGAACGGTAAGCAGACCCCTGAGCGGACTGAGCTCATGCACACTTGAAATATTGATTTTTAACTGGTTCTGTTGTGACCGGAAAATTTTAAAGCGTAAGCGACCGAAGTGGCTGCTTTACTACGTTTAAACAAAGTAGTTTTTGAAGACTGCTCCATATGAACAGTGATGCTGGGATTGTGCAAATGATGCTCACGCCGTAACTAAGTCGTGGGATGTTTCATGTGGTCCCTCCTCAGCTGGTGCCTCTCCAGTTGACCCAGTATGGCACTGAGAACCCTGTTCTGGGACGACAGGTGTAAGGTGACCTGCCGAGTTCTGGTGGAGTCGGGTGTTCTGGCTGAGAGTCTGACTTAAAAAAAGCACAACTGATCACATCCCTGCAGAAGCTTTTCTGTAAAGACTGGATTAGTCACTGCACGAGTTTCTTCCTGCTCTTCAGTAAATCTGTTAAACATGAAGTCCAGCAGTCTTGTGCCTCCGAGGACCAGGATTCTGAGAGTCCCTCTCAGGCAGCAGTAGTTGAAGCCGGGTCACTAATCTTTGGCTTGTTGCAGGTTCTGTTCCAACAACTCGTCCTGGACTCACTGCAGGTAAATGAACAAACACGATGAAGATGCTGGAATTGTGCAAATGATGAATTTCGCAACAGTCACGGGAATACCGGCAAAATATTCCCGTTCTCATCTGGTACTCATCCTCCTGTTGGGCCCAGTACGGCACTGAGAACCCTGTTCTGGGACAACAGGTGTAAGGTGACCTGCTGGGTTCTGATGGGCGGTTCTGGCTGAGGGTCTGACTGAGGCACATTTCTGATGACGTTCCACTTGTTCCCACCGCTCAACCGTTTGCAAAACAACCGTTTAACCCTTCGTGTCTCTTGCAGATCGAGGACGTCTGAAGTCTTGGTGAGTGTTTAAGCTTCTTTATTTTTGAAATCATTTATCTGAAAGTGATGAGTTTGTTTTACCGCCCCAGTCTGAAAAATCATGACTGATTGGTATTTTCTGATTTCTTAAAACGACTAAACAGTTCAGTTATTTATTCATTTTCAATCTTAACTCGTTTTCTCCTCTTGCAGACGACCTGGAGTTTGAAGTTTTGCTGGTGAAAGACTTCATCCATGTGTTTAAGAAAAGACTAATTCTTCACATTAAACTAATTTTAATAAAAGATTTATAATCAAGTGGAACTTGTGTTTATATTTAAAGACGTGGGACCAGTTGAAACGTGTATTGGTGGTAAGACGCCAACTTAATAAAGATGGTTGTTATCCACGTGTCCAGGTACGTCCTGTTGCCTGTAGCGTTGGCAGCCATCTTGTGCTGTATCTAACTGGTTTTAATCATTAGAGCAGTCGTTTTGATTAAAGGCCATTTCTGCTCCTCCGCTCTGAAACATCTAAGACCACAAAAGTACAAGTGATGAACCACTTGAGTTTGTTGGGGGTTATGGCCGGTGGGGGTGACCAAACAAAAATTATGGTCCATCGTGAATTTAACAATTTGATAGTTGTACATTTTAAGACAAGCCATGAGTAAAAAAAAATTTAGTTTTACAGATTATTTTTTTTTGTGTGTGTGCAAGGAACGTCCTCAGGTGAGGTTGTGGAAGCTGTCTAATCCCGAGGTTGCGGGTTTGAGTCCAGGTTGCATCCAGAAGGGCATCGGGCGTACAACATGCCAGATCTTTCATGCGAGTGGTGACCCCTGAAAGAAGCTGCTTCAGTTTCCTGCAGCACCAAGCTCTTATTTATGATTTTATTTTAACTTTGCAAACATGTGACCGTCAAACTTCTGTTGTGGTAGAACAATAAATTAATACAATTGAGTTTTGGTGAAAGCTTCAAAACAATGAGGGAGTAAACCACATGTGGCTGCACTGTCAACGCAGTGTTTAAATGTTCTAAATGAACCCACTGGTTTAATGTTGGAAAAAACTTCAAGCATCTTGGATTTAATAAAAACTGATCGAACCGCTTGGCTGAACGTTCATCTTTAGTTTCACTTCAAAAGTTTGATTTAAAAGGTCATTTTGTATAGAGCTGTTGAACGTTTTAAATCTGACTAACTTTTTATTTTAGGAGTAATTTACTTTATAGTTACTCTGATTAGCAGTTCTGTAGCTTCAGGTTTTGCCAATAAGACCTTCAGTTCTAAGAAATTCTAAACAAAATTGGTATAAGCAAATTACCGTGTGTGTTTTGCACATGGAGCAGAGACGTTGCATCAGTTTGTACAAAAATTAAATGTGTTCAGCAGAATGTTCTGAATCAGGCTGGTAGGACCAGAGTGCTGCAGCATTAAACTGAAGTAGGTGAATAGTTTACTGGAGTTGTAACAAAATTAATATTTAATAAACGAGAGGCACAGATCAGCTGACTCAACACAAGTATAAAAGCTTCAGCCACAAACTGCAGCTAATTTTAACGTCTTTAGAGCATCGTGGAGTAAAAGTGCAGCAATAAATAAATTCTGGATCCTTCAGTCGGCCGTGAAGACCCGAGCAGCGATGTCGTCCACCAGCCAGTCCACTCCGGCCAGCAGGTTCTCTCCGGTCACTGCGCTGCAGCCCACGATGCACCAGTGGTGACTCCTGATGTCGTCCAGAGCCAACGCCTGCAGCAGAATCAACACCAACTATTAATAATCGATAAAAACCGGACGGATCGATCAGGCCGAGGAGGCGTCACCTCTCTGAGCGCTTCTTTGGGCAGCGCTCCCGGCAGGTCCTGTTTGTTGGCGAACACCAGCAGAGTCGCACCGGCTAATCTCTGCAGGACGAATCACAAGCTCGTTAAAGAGATCAGACCTTCTGACACTGGTCTAGTGAGCCATTTCTTTGTGGAACCAGAAAGATGCTGGAAAACAATTTTTCCATGTCAACAAATCAGAAAACGTTCAGCTCTTCCAGGATAATCTTGCTATGACTTTTGGTTTTGGTGCAACTTTAGCTTTTTGAAATATTTACACTTTTCTGCCACTTTCCTCTCATAGAAAATGAACTGAGCTCATTTTACATCCTTCAGATCTTTAGATCCGTTTATAACCTTTTACTGCTCCTTTCACATTTGTTCAGCTTCAGCTAAAAGTAAACTTTTTCAGCTACTTTCAGCTGTTTTTATGCTCCTTTCAGATTCTTTCAGCCAACGACATTTTTGTGCTTCTAATTTTTCTGCTAATTTCAGCTTGTTGTGCTCTTTTCAGCTCATTTCTGCAAGTTTTCAGCTTTTTCAACTATTTAAGCTACTATTTAGCTGTTTTATGCTAATTTTAGCTATTCCAGCTAATTCCACATTTTTTGTGCCCATTTAACTTTTTCATCTTAATTCAGCAAAAGCGTGCTCTACACTTCCTTCTAGTAAATTCAGGTTCTGCCTTTTTTTTTAGCTACTTTTCAGCTCTTTATTTGCTAATTTCAGGGGTTTTTTCAGAATTTTCACTTCTTTGCTTCTTTCAGCCTAATTAAGGCTTATTCTGCATTTTCAGTTACATTTTTTAGCATTTTTATGCTACTTTTAGCCTAATTAAACTATTTCAGCTAATTTCAGCTTGTTATGCTCCTTTCAGCTAGTTTTTTTTTTCAGCTTCTATTTAGCCGTTTTATGCTAACTTTAGCTTTTTCAGCTAAATTTACATATTTTTGCAATAATTTAATTTTTTTCAGCCTAATTCAGCAAAAAGTGTGCGCTCTCCACTTCCTTCTGGTAGTTTAAGCTTCTTTCTACCTTTTCAGCTGTTTTTGCTAATTTCTGCCTTTTCTTTTTAGCTTATTTCCTAATTTTTATGCTGATTTCTGCTTATTTAAACCTATTTCAGTGTGTTCTTTTGGTTTTCTTCTGCTAAATTAAGCTTGCTCTTCCATTTCAGCAGTTTTTTAAGCCAATTTCAGCTGTTTTTCAGCAAGTTGTTCGGCAATAAGCATTCACATGCATTTTTGCAGGAAATGCAATCTCTCTAGTTTGAGACCAACTTGCTGTACGATCAGTACTGAAGGGTTTTTCATCGTGAGGCTCTGTATTTATTTGTTTAGATGCTTTTAAGGGGAGTAAACGATGTCTGATACAAAGAAATGAGACCAATTAGTTATTATATACTAATTGTATCATATTGAAAACGACCATAAAGAAAATATGTTTGGCTACAAAACTTGTGTAGGACTTCGGAACTAAAAACAAACTGTATGAAATCCTGTGCACCTCCTCCAGCAGCAGCGCGCTCAGCTCCTGCCGGCAGTCCTCCAGCCGGAGTCGGTCAGCGCTGTCCACCACCCACACCAGCCCGTCTGTGCTCTCGAAGTAGTTCCTCCAGTAGGAGCGCAGCGACTTCTGACCGCCCACGTCCCAAATGTTTAACTTAAACCTGAAGGGAAACAAAACACAAAATGGAGCAAGTAAAATCTGGAACAGAATCAAATAAACGCTGGCAGAGCAGATGAAAGCAAATGTCGACAAACACGATGTTTTTATTACACACAAGCAGTTCAGACGACACCGACCTCAGAACTTGTGTTGACATCGCCGAGCTCTTTGAGGAGGCACTTAAAATACGACAAATATGTCCTTGTTTTTAGTATTTTTGCTTTATTGTACAGCACCTTGATTTGTCGTGTTATAGAACTTTTAACTGCATTTACTATAGTTTAATGTTTTTATTGTTATATGTTCTGTCTGGAACAGGTCTCTCTTGTAAACGAGTCCTCGTGGCTCAATGAGACTACCAGTAACTTGTATAAATAAAGGATGAATGAATGAATAATGTGCTGAGAAAAAGCTGGTTTTATGGAAATAAGAAAAAAAGCAACGACAGAAGTTAATGTTTGTACCTTAAACTGGAAGAAAATACTTTTTTTTTTTAAGGAAAAAGCCAAATGAAAACCCTTGGATCACATGTAAACAGGAAACAAGCCACTCTTGGACTGTGGATGATCCAAAAATTCAAACTACAATCAAAACAAACGGAGATCCAGACCGGAGTAATGCCATTACATAGATCCATTAGACCGAACCAGAACCTGGTCCTAGAAGAAACCACCCTGCCAGTAGCATACCTGTGCACAGCACTGAGTTTTTCTGGATTTTCTCAAATTCTTCACAAACTGTGTCTCCAAATGCTAAAGGACCTATCTGGAGAAACATTAAATAAATAATGTGTTGGAAAGGAAAGAATAGAAACATTTGTTACGCAGATCGATCTACACGAAGCGGGCAAAGCTAAAATGCTCCGAGTCGAACTCACTCTCAGCACTCACTCACTTCAGCGTCGTGAATTATTTAATTCACAATGAAAGCATCTAAAAAAAGCACTCCTAAAACCACGACACTCTTCAGGTGGTTTAATTACCCTCGTCTTTAAATTCTATCAGCACTCCCTTCGCTTTAAGATCTACGTGGAAATACACAAACCCTGCCTCACAACCAACAAGTTGCAACCATTTGGATGGAAAACTGACGTGATCGCAGATTTATTACGCTTGAACTTTCCTTTACCGCCAACGAAGTGTTCTTGAAACGTCACACGGCTCGATGTTCCTGTGGACATTGGCGAGCCGCACTCGTCGGCGAACAAACTTGCAACGCCAAGTTGTAAAGTTCGTTCGCCTACAAGCTTTCTACGTTTCAAGATGCATCGATATCTTCCCTGATTTATTGGCTGTTTGTGCACCCTTCACCCAACAGTACACGACTATTACTGATGTAACACGCGTGTTCACTGAAGCGGAAAGTTGCTCGTTTGGTTCATCCTGGATGGAGAAGTGCCCGACTGTAGAAAGTGACGTCAGTTGGGAAATATGAATTTTCATTTATAGTCTTGTATGTGACCTGAAAGCTAAACTGGCATACTTTTAAAATAACTTGTAAGTTTTGTTCTACAAAGTCAGAACGTTTTGCTTTTGATTAAAATGAGTCTGAGTGCTGTGTGTGGCTTGGTTCTTGTCCTTGAACATCTGGATGAGCCTCCACCTGCAGGGGACGGTGCTGTGTTTGTGAATGCCTCCTACCCTCTATGCTCCAGAGTCTGGATGTTGAAGCCCAGTGTGGGGGAGATGGTGCTGACATCTTCTCCGTTGAACTTCTTCAGGATGGTCGTCTTCCCCGCGTTGTCCAGCCCTCTGCACGCGACACGTCAAAGAAACTTCACACACCTGACGGTTATCCGCAAAATGACACAAAAGACTTTGACCAGCGACGCTACTTTAAACTTCAATAATAAGGTATTAACTTAAATCAGTAAGATGAAGCAAAACATAGTGTTCTCGTTGTGTTTCAAGCACGAAGGCTACCTTGTTTCTAGCTAGCTCAGTAGCTGCTAGGCTAAATCGTCACAGAAAGGATACAACATAAGCAGCCTCATTTCGCGCTCCTTTTGTTTCATCTTCTTCAAAATTGTCAACAAACCCATCTCGACGCACACAGTCTCAATATATCACCTATTTAAAAAAATGACGAACATACATTTATTTTTAAATGTGAATTTTTGGATTAAATAGCTTTCATGAACCGCATCAACAATCCAAGATGTGCGACAAATAGTAGCCCCGCCCCTAAAAGCCACTGATTGGTTGAGATGACAGTTAGCTAATTCTGATTGGGTAATGGGGATGAGCCGAAGCTATCTGATTGGTCAAAATATTTTCAGGGCGTAGCATCCTGTCCACTTTGGTCGCTTGTTTTGTTCGTCACTTCCGCCGTGAGTCTGCTCAAATCTTTTGATTTTGACACGCTGCTGTAGTTAATGTAAACCTTAAACGCTTATCTTAATTGATGTGTGGAGGTACCCACACCATAACAATAATGCTTATACATGGAGAAACAGAAGTACCTCCAGGAAATCTTTTGATTGGTTGATAATGATTTCTAACCTGAACATTGATAAAACATCAGCTAATATTAGCCCAGACTTCACTTTTTTTAGATTTTTCTACCTGAATTATTGAGCATGCAAATCAGCTAATATTATTTCAACACCATTAACTGACCACGCTGCAGTTTCTATATTCATTCCTTTGCACCCTGCCTCTATTAAGCTATGTAGAAATGCTTATTGGAAATCTCACCATTAAAACATGAGACAGCTAAATCAGTCATAATAATAGCAAAATCCAGGAATGGAGCACGTTCTGAAGATGTCTATGGTAGAAAGTGGGAACTTTAGAAATTTAAAGGTGCCCAGTATTTGAGGAACTATGGAAGTACCGTCACCAAAGACTTGAAGAGAGAGTAGTCTCGTTATCTCAGAAGAAACCTGCGGAGATTTGTGATGATACATTCACCTCACAGGAGGTCACCCTGCCACTGGGCATCTCAAAACGAACAAATCTGGTCTGATGGCCTACACCGGCACGCAGAATTTTATCAGACATTTAGAGCAGATTGTGCTCCCCTTATATTTGAGGTCACTCTAGAAAGCGTAGAACGAGGAGCTCTTCCTCCCACACTAACACAAGCCTAATAATAACGCTGATCCCAAAACCAAACCCGCTCATCAGGCAGGAGGTTGTGGAGCATTAAATGCAGAACCACTAGACTGAGGAACAGCTTCTACCCTGACTCATAAATCCCTAACCAGGAAAATCCCTGTAATGCCATTGTAATTGGACGTTTGACACTTTATCTGTGCTGCTGATTATCCATGCTGCTGATTTCTTACCTATAAGCTGCCATCTGCTCACAACAGGCTCGTGTTCAGGCTGCTGTTTTATACAACGTATTTATATTATTATTGTTTAATGTATATCTTAAATCCTTGTATTTATATTATATTATTGCTATTTTTGGGTGTAACTGGGACCTTGAGTACACAGCTTCGTTCCACCTCGTGTACCACATGTGATGCGAATGACAATGAAGTGAACCTTGAAAGATATTTGTGTGAACTGTTCACACATCTGTTCTGGCTCTGTCACACATCTGGGAAGAAGTTATCCAGTTCATCCAAACCAAGACTGACTCTGATCTGAGCATCGTAAACATCTGACTTTAACAACAATAAAGCTGTTAAAACATTTGATCTATGCTCTTTACTTAATGTAATCCCCTGATTTTGTTCATTTATTCAAATTTATTGATAATTGCCTTTGTACTGTACCTTTAATAAAAAAAAATATATATATATAATATATTAAAAAAAGAAACATTAAATGGCTTTAAAAAAATTTCCATGTGAATTGAATGAGCTCAGGTTCTTTTTTCAAGTAAACAATATAACAGTAGATTGTGACATATTTATTTATCTACTTTAGATTTATTATATCTAGCTGGACGCAGTTTGTGAGTCAAGTTTTTAAATTTTAAAAAAGCTATTTTTTTTATGAGATCATTTATGTACTTTTGATTGTTACAAGTTTCACTCAACATTTTCTTGAATTTTGTTCAAAAACCTTTAATGTCCAAAACAAGGCTCCGAGCAGTCTTCATCGTTCTGTTGAAGAAGATGAGTCACACAATTTCCTTGTCAAATAAAAAAACTAATTATTAATCAAAGTAATTTGGTGCACATGTCATCGCCCCCTCCATGTAGGCAGATTCCTGAGTGATTTTTCAGAAAAGGAAATTAAAAAGTTCACACAAAAAAAATATATAAATTAAAAAGTATCAATAAAAAAACGAGCTAATTTAAAAGATTAAGATGATTAGATGCTATTTTAGTCACAGGGCTCAGTAATTGTGTCTTTATGAACACATTTTTATGCATAAGTCTGAAAGAAAAAACATATTTTCACTACAACCTGTTTTTATTCTTATTAATTTTACCAGCATGAGCTCGGGAGGAGCATAAAATACTGGAAACTGTGCATTTAAAACTCATATTGGCTCCAACCCTCCTGCTGCCCTGAGGTCAAAAGGGTCGCTGAAGCCACAGCTTACAAAATAAGGCCTCAGTCATTTTGACCCAGGGGCAGCAGGAGGGTTATTGTTGTCCCATGGACTCCAGAGAAGCTTACTTTTATTTAGTTTTTGGTTCATAACCAAAGTCATTCACAGATTCTTGTGAATTTCCTTTTTAGAATGATGTCACTTCCTGCTGCGAACCATAAAAGTTCTTTTCTTTCCTTTCCTGGCAAAAATACTCCTGAAATTCCCTGCACGTGGAGGAAAAAAAAAAAAAAAAAAAAAAAAGAGACCCTCTCTCCTAATATGGTCACAAACCCAGACTAGTTCCGTCATTCCCGTGGTGCCTTCATGTACTATAGAAAATTCAGCATTTCGACCTGCTGAGCATTTTCAAGCTTTGAAGTAAAGTGTGGAGGGTTAACATTTAATAAATAAATACGTCATGAAATAAAGAAATATAAATATCATTAAATAATTAAATGTATCATTTATTTAATGCATCATTAAATATACCACTTAAATTGTCAAGATTTTTTTAAAAATTTAAAAATATATTTAATTATTTCACTGTGTATTCTTTTATTTATTTCAGAAAATTATGTTAACTGTATGAAAATAAATTATATACAATTATATTTGCCCTTGGTAGGGTCTCCCAAGGCAGACTGGCCCTATTATTTAATGTCATTATTTAAAAGGTACATTTTATTTTGTTTCATGGGACATTTAATTAATTATTCGTGTATTTGATCATTTAATTGTATATTTAACGACTTAATGATTTATTTTAAACGATTAATTATTATGTATTCCACCCTCCATACATGTGAATCCATGCACCCCATGCAGACTGAAACTCGTCCTTCTGAGCTCTGCGGTAAAAGTGAAACTAACGTGGCGCACGTGAACGCACCACGCGCAGCGCCGGCTCTTTCAGCTCAAGCGGTCGGTTTAAAATAAAGCGAAACTGAAAGGAGCGTCACGTTGCATCATCACCATCTGGTTTTTTTTGTTTCACCGGAGTCTCCGGAGCTGTAAAACCCGTCTGAAGAGCCGTCCGGGCGGCACTCTCTGCTCTGCTCCCCCAGTATCAACAGTTCCGCCCTCCCACCGGACCCTGAAGTGCTCACAGGATCCGGACCGGGCGGAGGCTCGTCCTGCAGCTGAAAGCTCCTTCGAGGAGCCAAAGAGATGCCCCTGTTGTTTATGGACACCGGCTACGAGCCCAACAGCCCCGACTCTGCGTCAGAGGAGTGCTGCAGCAACACCTCTGGACAGGTAATCACACCTGCAGGTACCCGGATGCTCCCATTTAATCATCCCGAATTAATTACACTGTAAACAAGTTATTCTGAATTGGCACAACACTGGTAGCAATTATCAATTCACTTCATTTTTGTTTCACTTGGCATGAAAATTACTGTCTAAAAGTAGAACTGGCTCCTGTGACAAAATATGGGTTAGTCTAAAATATGTATAAAACATTACTTGTTTTTAATCTTCAAGCTTCAGTCCAGTTCAGGAAACAGGCAAAGGAAAAATCCTGGACTATATTAGTACAAAAAATAGATTAACTTATTTGAAAGTTTTCTTTTCATTCAAGGACAATGGGGGCCTTATAGAGAATGTCCAAGGGCCAATTTTGGGCCATATGTTGGCCGTGTGTGCCCTAAAGCTAAAATTAAATAATAAAAAAAAGAAAAATCTGTAAATAAAATATTAGTTCTAACCCTCCTGCTGCTCTTGGGTCAAAATGAACTTCGCCTCGGTTTTTGACCCAAGTACAGCAGGGGGGTTAAAGCACGAAGGAGATGAAGGAACGCACAATAAACCATTACTGTATTTTGATTTACTAATCTAATATTTACCCAGAATGCATTTGTAAAGTCACAGTGGACTGCACGGGACAGTCGTGATTTTACTGTGAGAACAGACAGTAACTCACCGTAAAGTGCTTTAACGGTAAAGAACGTTTGATAAAAAACTGTAAAATTTAACATAATTTTAATATTAAAGCAGCTAAAATTAATTTATTTTAGCTGTTGTCCTGTAACATTTGAAGCTGTGAATATTTACAGCATGTTCCAACTCCTTGACTTTACTGAGCACAGCCTCAAAATCAGAGAGTTGTTTTTTTTTGGTCATACACACGACATGTGGTACATGTGGTGGAACGAGATTATGAACACAGGGTCCCAGTTACATCCCACAATAAAAGGAAAAAGAGTAATAAGATCGAAGATATGAACTAAGAATAATATCAACTAAATATACACTAAGCACTAATAGCATATATATACATATATATATATATATATATATATA